ATCGAGTCCGTGGAGGAGACACCGTACGGCATCCGGTGGATATGCAAGCAGATCAGAAGCTTGTCCCGACGCAAGTACCCGGACGCTCAAGATCAGACCATCTGTACCCTAATTGGAGGATTCTTCTTCCTTCGCTTCATCAACCCCGCCATTGTCACGCCCCGCTCGTATATGTTAATCGAATCGACGCCCACGGAGAAACCCCGGCGCACGTTGACTCTGATCGCGAAGATGCTTCAGAACTTGGCGAACAAACCCTCGTATGCCAAGGAGCCGTATATGGCGAAACTTCAGCCTTTCATCCAGCAAAACAAAGAGCGCGTGAACAAGTTCATGCTTGATCTGTGCGATGTACAAGATTTCTACGAGAGCTTGGAGATGGACAACTACGTCGCGCTCTCGAAGCGGGACCTGGAGTTACAGATTACCCTCAACGAGATGTACGCCACCCACGCCTTGCTGGAGAAGCACAGCTTGGCTTTGGCCCAGGACCAGCACTCCCATCTCAATGAACTCCTGCAGGAGCTTGGTGCTGCGCCACCACAAGTCCCCCGGAAGGAGAATAGGACCATTACAGTGCCCTTGTTTAGCCGCTGGGAGACTTCTCTAGATGATTTGACCGCAGCCTTGGATATCACCCAAGAAGAAGTCTTCTTCATGGAGGCCAAATCCACCTTCGTCCAGATTTTGCGGTCCCTCCCTCCGAAACACCCGGCAATGCGTCGTCCACTACGGCTCTATCTCATTGCAGAGAGCGCTGCGACTCTTAAGAACGATGCGGTAATGGTCCGGAAAGGAATCCGCACTATAGAACTGCTCGATCAATTGATGAAATTGGGCGTCATCGAACGTGCCAATGACTTCAGTCTCCTGCGGGACGAGGTTGAACAGGAATTGGAGTACCTAGGCGGCCTGAAAGAAAACGTCTTGAAGGAGACGAAGAAACTGGAAGAAGTTTTTGCCACCATACGCGACCATAACGCATACTTGGTGGGCCAGCTGGAAACGTACAAGTCGTATCTTCACAACGTCCGCAGTCAGTCCGAGGGCAAGCAGCGGAAACAGCAGAAGCACCAGGAGCTCGGACCGTACAAGTTCACGCACCAGCAGCTTGAAAAGGAAGGTGTCATTCGCAAGAGTAACGTTCCAGAGAATCGACGAGCAAACATCTACTTTATGTTCAAGAGTCCTTTGCCAGGCACTTTTGTCATCAGCCTGCATTACAAAGGTGAGCAGTGGCTTTAATCCTCTCTTCTTCTGCTTCTTTACTGACCCAACTGTCAGGCCGTGCTCGTGGTCTTTTGGAGCTGGATCTCAAGCTTGATGATTTGCTCGAAATGCAAAAGGACAACCAGGAGGACTTGGATCTGGAGTATGTCCAATTCAATGTCTCGAAGGTGCTTCTACTTTTGAACAAACGATTTGCACGAAAGAAAGGGTGGTAGAGAGACCGCATCGATGGCCTCTCTTCTACACTCTATCACGACGTCTATGAAACGGAGCGGATAGTCACCGGCAAGCCTCAAGATGGGGGCCAGCCTTCGGTCTCGGGGCTATCAAGTCGCCAATTTGATGACCGACAATTGGCCTTGGAAATACGCCAACATGCCCGGAAGACCGTGGCAGTGTTATCTATTTGGATCGTCTATTCTACGTTATGACCTGGGGACGGACGATTGATTTGTACACTTCACCATGCGGCTCGCCACCCAGGCGTGGTGCGGGTCGACTATGGATGCATAAGATGAGTTGCTTCTTTTTTTTGTTTTCGTTATGTCCGATTTCGTTAAGATAGGGCTCCTATGCGGGGCAGTAATGTGGTGAGGCGACCGGCTCTGTCAATCCCAAGCATGTGGTCCTGGACTCTTTCCTCGCTGGCTCGGGGGTGAGTGGTCATGAGCAGGGTTTGTTTGAGCAGTGTTGCGTTTTCGTTTTGTCCTCGCGACGGCTATACCCCGTTGAATGATATTGCGCTCGAGTGTCTTTTATTGGGTCAGTGCGGTTTGATGAGATTGGTGCGCTGTGTTGCTTCAGCGGCTCTAATGAAGCCGGCCGTCATGTTACCTTGTGTTTATGTGTACTAGTATGCCTTGGATTTAGCGTTGTGAATTCCCCGGAATCATATATTATATGGCTTTTAATGAGGATGATGCTCTGTGGTGTCTGGGCCCGCGAACAGTCGGCAAAGACCAGACATTGTTTAGGATTCTTCGATTCTTTTGGGTAATGTGATCGACCTGCGTTGTTCGTATCTGGCGATGTAGGTGATTCGATCGTCGGGGTTATTGGCTAGCAATTTCCGCCGAGTGATATTCGGCCAAGTTGCCCAGATACCACCAGCATTGATCTAAACCCCTACGTCACTGCCGCCGGGGCGCAGAATGGCAACGGCGCGACCGCCCTGGAACGAGAGGGCGCATTGGCGTAGGAGAGGCTTCGGTGGTCGCTAACCAGGGGCTTCTGAGGGGGGTGAATGGGAATGATGATCATGAGGCAGGATGCCTCCTCATCAACAAGTAATTTGAATCGATGATGAAACAGATGCAGCCATGCATGACGCCTCAGAGTCCTCCGTAAAGAAGGGGGAAATGGACAAGTAGTTGACCGCTTTACGCGCCGCCCCTCGGTTTTCAGGCACCCAATTCAGGCCGACTGCTGCCACTGAACTTCCAGTAGGCAGTTTGGTAGGCAGTCATTTCAGTCGTAGTGAGTGGTCAACGCCAGTAGTAGGAAAGTTGGATTCCCGTCTAAGTTTGACTGTTTCCGTCCGCCGTCTCATTTCTTTCTCGCCTTCTGGCTTTTTTCTATTATTTCTTTTTTGCCTCTTTCTCTTTGATTTCCCTCTGTATTCCGCCTCTGGTTAATTTCCAGATTAGTTGTTCATATTCCGGGCAGTTGGTCCTCCTCTTCTCCTTCCCCTTAACCGCTGCTATCTGCGACATCCCGCTTAATTGTCCCTCCCCACTCCCCTCTCTCCTCCTCCTCTCCCCCCCTGCACCGCCCGATTTCTCCTCTTGCCTCCTTCTCCTCCTCCTCCTCCCTTTTGAACATCAACTCATCCCGCCTTCGGGTCTATAACTTTCTCTCAACCCTCTTTTACTCTTCCTTTCCCCCAACCCTCTTCACCCACCATCACCTTCACAATGGCGGCCCCCCAGTCCAAGTACGATGACTACGATTTCCCGACCACCGCGCCGGAAGCCCAGCCCGGCCACCCTGGCCACACCACCCCGGAGCAGGATGCGAAGGTAGAGCAGCTCCGGGCCGAGCTGGAACAACTTGGCTACACCGAGAGGCTGGATACTCTGACGCTGTTGCGTTTCCTGAGAGCCCGGAAGTTTGATGTCGCTGCTGCCAAGACCATGTACGTATTTGCTCCCTGACTATTGTGACGACTAGCGCCAGTGACTGGGGCCTACGCGTAAGCGGATGCTACTGGGAAGACGGCGTTGAAAGTCTGTCTTGCATTATTTTTTTTTTTTTTGCCTCCTATTTCACGGAGACTTCGCTCCGAGATGCTCAGTGATCATGGAATCTTGAAATGTTCAAAGCGCGCGCTAACATCCTATCTTGGAAATAAAGGTTCGTCGAGTGCGAGAAGTGGCGGAAAGAGTTCGGTACTGATGAGCTGGTCCGCACTTTCGAGTACCCCGAGAAGGCTAAGGTCTTCGAATACTACCCTCAGTACTACCACAAGACGGACAAGGTGCGTGATTTGAACAGACCGCTTTTTCCTCCACCGCTAGACTGGTCGAGACGCTAACGATCGGGATCCCGAATAGGATGGCCGTCCTGTCTACATCGAGAAGTTGGGCAAGATTGACCTCACTGCCATGTACAAGATCACCACCGGCGAGCGCATGCTCCAGAACCTCGTGACCGAGTATGAGAAGCTTGCCGACCCCCGTCTGCCCGCCTGCTCGCGCAAGGCTGGTAAGCTGCTTGAGACTTGCTGCACCATCATGGACCTGAAGGGCGTCGGTATCACCAGCGTCCCCTCCGTCTACGGCTATGTCAAGCAGGCGTCTGCCATCTCCCAGAACTACTACCCCGAGCGTCTGGGCAAGCTTTACCTGATCAACGCCCCCTGGGGCTTCAGCAGCGTGTTCAGCGTGGTCAAGGGTTTCCTTGACCCGGTGACCGTGAACAAGATCCACGTCCTCGGCTCCAACTACAAGAAGGAGCTGCTGGCTCAGGTCCCCGCTGAGAACCTCCCTGTTGAGTTCGGCGGTACCTGCACGTGCGCCGGAGGCTGCGAGCTTAGCGACATGGGCCCGTGGCAGGAGTCTGAGTGGGCCAAGACCCCCAAGTGGGCTGCCCCGAAGGAGCCTGCTGCTGAGGCTCCTGCTGAGGCTCCTGCTGAGGCTGCTGCTGAGGCTGCTGCTGAGAAGGAGGCTGAGGCTCAGGCCACCGCATAGAGGCTTTGTTTCATCCACCGTTTCTGTTTCTTTTCGTTCTACATCTTGGATCAATATGGTAAAAGCTTCAGGCACTATCTTGCCGATCTATATCCCTTCTTTTGTTTCTAGAACTGTTTTGCTAGGGAGAGGTACGCCGCGGGTGCCTGTCCACTTTCTTTTCATATCTCAAGATACGTGCTGGAAGGGTTGTTGAGAGTTGTTTCAGGGGATTCCGCGGTCCTATTATTATGTGTTTTGCTTTTGGTCGTGCTTGTTTTCCTTTTGCAGTCAGATATCAAACACCATACGAGCGGCGCGAGGTGCTTTTTATAGATTGGAGCCGGGGCAGTAATAGCGGACAGAGGATAAAAGTGTTACGTGGTCAGGATGCTCTAGGTAGAACCAGGGTATACACTCAGATAGCGTTAGAGTGAATGTTGCAGAAGCGTCCTTTAAAGCACCGAGATGCAGATCATGTATTCATGTTGCAAACACATCGTAAACCGATTGGTATCATCCCAAGACCCCTGCAGACGCCGACCAAACCCAGTAGAACGGAATAAACAACCCAGTGATAAGCAGACAAGCCTAAACAAACACTCATTTCTTCTTCTTCTCCTTCTTCTCCACCACCTCAACAGCCCGCCCAGCCCTCTCGGCCTTCCCCAGCGTCGAAGAAAGAGCATTCCCATCCGCCCCATCACCACTCGAATCCACCTCCGCCCCAGACACCCCCTCACCTTGAAGCCGCAACAACGTCCGCAACGCATCCTCATACACCTCCGCCATCTCCCCACTCCGCCACCTCTCCGCCTCATTCTCCGTCCCCAGCGAAACCTCCAATTTCGCCCGCGATCTCGTCATCGGCCCTTTCCTTTGTGTACTTGCCGTTGTGCTCCCCGCATCAGTCATCTCCGCATCCTGTCCCCCACCCTGTTGCTGCTGCCCTTCTTCATCTTCTTCCTCCTTCATCTCCTCCTCCTCCTCCTCTTCTGTTTCCTGTTCATCCTCCCTCAACGCGCTCCTCAACTGCTCCGCATACGCCTTCGCCGCCCGCCCCGGCGCATCCCGTCTCAATTGCGCCACCGTCGTCGTCAACGACTCCAATTGCGCATACAGAGATGTTACCCGCGATGCTAGTTTTCCGTCGTACGCTTCGTATTCCACTTGTTCTGTGGGGGCTGTGAAGGCCGCGGGGAAGGGCCATTCCGGGGATGTGGAGTCGAGACCATTGATGCTTATGGAGGGGGAGGCGGAGTTGAAGGTGCGGTTTATGTACTGGGAGCCGTTATTGTTAGATATTGCAAAATGGATAATGGTGAATGAGAGACCTTGGGGAGGAAGGGAGAAGGGATAAGGTATTACCTCATCGACTAATTCTCGCACTCGCTCGCGCATAGGATCCGGTCCATCGTTGGGGTTCGCGGACGGGGGCAGGTGGAGGTCGAGTTTTGCTCGTGAGAGCGCGACGGTGTTGGCGTAGAGGTAGGTGAAGTCCGCGGGCGATTGGAGTTCGATTTTGCGGTGGTGGTCGGTGGACATTTTCTATTCTCTTTCTTTTATTTTATCTTTTTTTCTCGTCGGTGGGGGTATAAGTGGTGGTGGTAGGGGGAGAAATAATGGTGAGGAGGGAGGGGAAACGCGTCCAGAGTATGTTTGATGATTGTGATGCGGAGATACGATAGCAATCTAGCCATTTATCTGTGCCTGAGGCATCAAGGGACACGAAGTGAATATATATGCCTCAGGCATAAGGTAGTGTCGATCGCCCCGCAAACGATGTCATCATTGATCGAAATCGGGAAGGTGAGGAAAAGTAGTTCCCATTCCATGCCTTGCTTTGCAACGAACTACTAACTTACTTTTCTTCATCATCTTCGTTTCTCCCAACCAGGCAGGTTCCGGTGGGTAGTGAGTTTGTCGCACCATTTCATTGAATGTTTTACTTAATTTAAATGCCTTGTTGCTTTATATAGCCTCTTCTTCTTGCAGGCTACAAGAATAACTTATTCCTTACTATTCTAATTGGAGTGTCCCCTTTTAATCTCCAGCTAGTCCAGTTGTCTTGTCTCACATACAACACTATTCTATCCCTGCAGGATGGCCTTATTTTCGCTGCGATGATCGGCACCCTTTTTCTATTTCAGTTATAATTTATAGTTATTATAAGATTCACCTCTGCATACATTGAATAGTAAGGAGGCATCTACAATGGACGACAACGACCAGTCCAACACAAGCAGCTCCATCGCCCTCATCGATAACACTGCGCCCCGTCGCCGTCACTCTGAAACTCCCACCGCTACAACAAACGGCGGCAGCCACGTCTCCCGGAAATGGACGAAAAGATCAATTCGCGGCGAGCTCAAGAAGCGCAAGTACGCTAAATGGCAACCGGATCGATTAGGTCTCACGACCGATGATGAAGACAACGACAACTACAACTACAACAATAATGAGGGGGAGGAGAACATACCATCATCCAGCCGACGCCCCTCAGAAAGACCAGAAACAGATCTCTTCACTACAGAAACAGCAACCACCACCAGCAACCCCCCCTCACAATACCAAAGTCAAAGTGACAGCCAACAACCCTCACCCCCTTCGCACGACGTAAGCGCCACAGATTTCGCCCCCGAAAGCACCCTCACCAACACCACCACTACACACTCCCACGGTCCCACAAAACTCACCGGCCTTAAACCCAACACCGAGCTCGACATCCTCTATGAGAACCAACGCGGATGGTTCTTCTTCGGCATCCCCCTCTACTCGCACAGCTCCCTCCTCAACTTCGACCCCTCCGCCTGGCAGACCGCCGATCTGCGCGACAGCCCCGTGGACATCACAAACGCGCAAGTGCCCGACCCCAGCTGGGTGTGGGCCTGGCGGTCCTGGTACGTCGATATGTCCGGCGACGTGGACGACCAGGGATGGCAGTATTCGTTCTCGTTCAAGTCGACGGCATGGCATGGGTCACATCCATGGTTTCATTCGTTTGTGCGCCGGCGCAGATGGGTCCGAGTGAGGACGAAACGCTTGGTGGATAGACATGGCCGGACGGGCTTGGAGATGGCGCATAGGTTGAATGAGGACTACTTCACGATTCATTCAGGGAAGAAGAAAAAGAGGCCGGTTAGTGAGGTTGGTGGTGGTGGGTATGGAGCTACGAGTTTGGGTCGGACCACAACCGCGACGACTGCTAGAGAGGAAGAGGAAGTACCGATAGAGGAGATAGCCGATGTCCCGGCCCTGATGCATGCGTTGAGAGTAGCGATTGTGGATCGCGAGAAGGTGGATGCGTTAGATCGGTTCGTCGAGGAGGGCGGCGAGGAGTTGTTTTATTTGGATGAGAAGGTAGTTCCCCCTATACGCTTACCCTCAGATCGCCATTTCCTTTCCCCTCAATATATCTCTTCCAGCAGACACTGACTACTGTGATAACTGTTCAGATCCCCGAAATCATGTCCATGTTCGTCTTCCAAGCCTCCCGCTGGCACTTCGTGATCCACCTCACCGACGTCGTCGAGTCCCTCTCCCAGCGACTCTCTTCAGCCAGCGGCAACGAAGCCACCGAGCTGCAGCGCAAACTGAATCATCTCCAAAAGGCCACTGAAACAGCGAGACGCCATCTCACTGGCCCCGGGGTTCTAAGAACCGAGAACCGGAAATCGAGCATGGAGATGCTGGATTTAACACCCGTGTCTAAGCGCGGGAGTCTGTTAGCGAGATACTCTGGCCGGTTCGAGTTCAAGTCAATGGATGATGGAGGGGAGATCAAGGGAATTCCTAAGGAGGCGGAGGTAGGCAGGGAAGGGCATATTTTCCAGTATTCTTCTTGATTGGATTGGCTATGGAGTTATGGGGTGGATGGGCTAGTACTCTTTGGTTAGCGTAGAATCTGTATCATTATTCATCTGTCGTCATTGAAGTGTTTTCACATCATACAAATCATCTGCAATTAACATCTCAAGACTATATACATACGGAGTACAATGCTTGGCACCGCGGAGGTGCAGTAAAAATGCCAGCCACGACCGCCTACCGCCTACCAACCCCGGTAACCCCAACCCGACAACTAACAGTAATAACTTTTTTGGCTCCGAAGCTCCCTGCCTCTCTCCCTCGGCCATTCCGATCTCTCGAGTCCTAACGACCACGGCCACGGCACCAACGCCTTCCAAGTTCAACCCCCTCGCTTGGCTGGTGTTCTTCCCACATGTTATCTCGTGGTCGACCGTGTCTGAAAAGACGTAGTCTATCTACCGTCTTAGACACCGTCGCGGCTAGTCCCGAAGAACCTCTCCTATTCCTATACCCTCGCTGGGTGGGTTCGGCTGTACGACAACGGAGACTTGTTTCCTCGGCTTCGCAGTGTGGAAATGGGAATGCGAATGCATATAATGCTGGGAGGAGGACGGTAGCGAGACAGCCGCCGCCGCCGCCGGCCGGACGGAAGCTCTCGTTTGGGAGCTCGTCGAGACGGTGGGTTTCGACGACGGCGGCGGAGGCTGCTGTTAAGACGGAGGTGAAGGGGGAAGATGTTCCGCCTGAGCAGGGGAAGTCAGCAGATGTCAATACTCCACAGAAAGGAAAGCGTGGTGAAGAGAATACCGATACCGGATCTGCGTCCATTTATAACGAACTAGACAATGACCCGCAAACCGAGGTGAAGAGCGAACGACACGTCTTCAACATCTTCTCCGACCTACAGACGAGACCTGTTCAGCCGACGGCGGGTCGAAAGGGTATGAGATCGTCCGGTGAACCGACGCCCGCTATTGCGCTGAAGCGACTATCGCACCGTGACCGACGGAAGTTGAGATATCGGCTGTTTTTGACGAAGCAGAGTCAGGGTCGTGACAAGGCGAAGAACAATCAATGGAACAAGTGGACGAAGATCCGGGAGATGTTGGAGGAGATGCATGAGGATACGCACGTCTGGGCGAAGAAGGGCGTCAAGCAGAAAGAGTTGCTCGTGCCGGAGGAGACGATCGCGCTCTTGGCCGGCGTGACGGATATGGCGTTGAAAGAGAATGTTTGGTATGTGCCGGTGCATAACGGGTGCAAGGTGCATGTGCTGCGTCCACTGCAGAGCCAGGGTCAGTTTCGGAGAGTGATTCTCTCTGGCTCGGAGCGGGTTGTTGAGTTGGTGAGCGATAGGATTGCGCAGGCGAGAAGACTGCAAGAACAAAGTGATCCCTTGGTCGATATTCAAATCCCGCTTGCGCCGATTATCCCGTCTATTGAGGCGATGAAGCGTCAGGGTGCTCCCGTGCCGCTGGTTCGAGGGGTTTGGGATATACAATCGGCTGTCAAGCAGGCCGCGAAGTTGCATATGGTCTTGCCTGCTGGGAAGAATCTGTCTGGGATTAGGGATTTCGCGGAACATGTGGAGGAATTGACGAGATCGAAACCTTCGTACAACTCAAAAATCCCCTATTCGCACCAGAAGCAAGTGGCGAAGGCCCTTGTACAGCTGTTCCGGAATGAGGCCTATTCCAGCTTTATGTCGACGGCTGCGTTAAATCGAGCGCTGTCGTATCTGCTCGATCATGAGTTTTTGAACGCCGCCCGCGACATCTTTCTCAGGTCCGAACACCTTGCGACGGTGGATACCTTTAATATCCTTCTGAAATCTGCAGCCAAGAGACAAGACCTCCGCTTCTTTCGTCAGTTCTTGCTGGCCATGTCTCGGCTGAGCATTCGGCCGGACCCCAATACATGGCTCACACTGCTGGATTGTCTAGTTGCCCCCAAGGCGAAAGCAGACCTCGTCACATATATGCTGCAGCGCGGGTACCTGGAGAACATGGGTGCGATGCGGACGGCGCTACATCTGACACTGCCGAACACGTTCCGCGCCCACTTGGAAAGTGGCAAGACTGTGGATTCATTCATCAGGCAGACCGCCGACTCCTGCGGAGATAGCTGTTTTGTTCCATCTCTGATCAGCCAGATGTTCGGTGTCATCGTCAGGCTGAAAGACTTTGCTGCCCTGGACCGGTTATTCGAGATCTGCAAGCAGAACGATCTAACCTTCAACAGTGCTACCATTACCCAAATCTTGTCCCTTTTTCGAGCAGACATGCCCACCGCTCTGCGATATCTCTTCCGCTGCCTAGAGCGCCCTGAGACGAAGCTCGAACGGCACGCATGGGAGCGGCTCTTCCTGGTCGCTTTCAAGGGCCAATACTATAACATCTGCCGGGTTCTCTGGAGGTACGCGTGCATGTCCGGAAACGTGACCTATAAGATGAAGCGCACGGTCGTGACTTCCTTGATCCGCAATGTGCCCCGAAAGCCGGAGACCAACGTCCATACAATCTGGGATGTGAGTGCGGGCAAGGTCATCGTGGGACTGGATCTGCATCGCCCCGACCATAAACTCCAGACCACCGTGCTCGACAAACTACCTCGGGAGTATCGCTCCAACCCCATCGCGTACCTAAGTTCAGGCTATAAGCCCAGCGGCGAAGAGCGGGAGCAGCAGATCCAAGTGGCCTCTGCGCTCACGCAGCATGATATCGAGATCGGTTCCTGGCATCGCCCGCAGCTTCCGTTGTTAATTATGTTGGAGGCAGCCTCGGTCTTGGATCAAGAGTGGCGGAAGGTGCCGCGGCCGGTACACTGGCTGGTCCAGAATGCCATTCGCGTGCCGGTGAGGAAGTCGATGTATCCGGCTTGATCTGTCTCCCTTGTTATTTGCTCGATTGTGGCTTCACCATGGCCCTGTTATATATACACATCTTGTACATTATGCCCTCACTCCCGTCCACCTCACATCACATCACATAACACTTTGTACATAGACCTGGAACCACCCCACCATATAGAATCCTAACAGCAATAGATTGTATCTATAATAATCCACAACCTAACCCCGCACACATGCAATGCAATGCAAGCAGACCAAACCAGACCAACAATTCCACATACATATCTTCATCATAGCATAACATAGCATAGCATAGTCATTACAGTCATTCACATCCATCCACGAAGGGGGGAAAGGTGTCCAAAAGGGATGTAAGGTAGATAAAACTCTACCACTTCCCATTCTCATGCAACAACGCCGGCTCCGGTGCCGTCACCACCGTGTCCGTTCTATCCTCAATCAAGGGATAAGGTGGCCCTGTTTGCTGAGCATACGGATCCATGTTTGTCCGCATCGACCCAACCCCTTCCTTCAAGTACAGCACGAGCCGATACGCCGAATTTCCATTCAAGTAGTACCGATGCAAGCGTTTACTCCGCAGGAACCCGAGGCGCTCGTAAAGTTTTATCGCGGCGGTGTTGGTGGTTTCGGTTTCGAGCACGATCTGCAATCAATAGATCGTTAGCGGGACGTGCACATGCATATCCACACGATCAAAGGTCAAGGGGAACTTGGGGTAGAGGTATACCTCATCCGCCCCTCTCTCCACCATAGCATCAATCGCCATTCGAGCCAGCTTTGTCGCTATCCCCTGGCCTCGATACTCCTCGCGCACGGCTAGCATAGCGATGTATCCGCGTAAGGGGCCCCCGCGATGCGGCTCCAGTTTGCTCACGACGACGCCGACCATTGGCGACGAGGATTGGAGCTCGGAGTTGTTGTCATCCATGGCCATGAAGCAGAGATCGCCCCATTGGTAGAGGAAGTATCGGTAGACGTAGATACTGTAGGGTTCGGACAGATCTTTGGAGATTAATTGGCGCATGGCGGGGACGTAGGTGTCTTCGTGGGCGGCATTGTAGCGGATGTAGCGGAGGGGGGTGGTGGTATTATTCGTTGAAGTAGGAGTGATGGTATCTGTAGTAGGAGGATTGGAAGCCATTGTGGAGAGAACGAAGTATGACAGGGAGAGAGCAGGGGGTCATTCATCAAACGAGAAATGGAAGCCGAGAATAAAAAGAAGTGATGACGTCCCGCACATGTGATTTTCCGGCGGTGCCTGAATTGGGACGGTTTCGGTTTCTTCATGCCAGACTCGGTTATTTTTGGCTCAAACCTTCTTTTTTTCCCTTCCTTTCTTATTTTACTTGGACTTGGACTCCCTCTGGTCTTTTCTACTTGCTTTCCCAGCTCCTTACATGATTTACGTCGTCTAAGTGCAGTATGCTCCGCCGTCGTGTGGCCAAGGACAAGGACGATGCGTCCGCATCACCGTCCCCGTCCGACTCCCGCGACATCCCCGACTCGAGTTCGTCGGCGCCTCAGAAACCCAAATCCGAGTCATTCGTTACCAAACCCCGGAGTAAACGGCGCAATGGTCTCATCTTCGTTCTGGGTGGCCTCTTTGGAGTCCTCGTGGCCGTGCTCTTCGCCAACCAGCAGGATGTGATCAGTCTGGACAGCATAATGGATCTGAACCTGGAGTCGTTGATGGATGTTATGCCTCAGGGATTGCTCTCGGATGTCAAGGAGTTCACGGTACGACCCAATTCCTTGTCAAACGACTTGATTATATCAATAGGACACGCCGTATACTGACAATCTGCGCAGCAACATGAACGCGACACCGTCAACTATGACTCCTTCTCCGTCGGTCTGCAGCTCCAAGCTGAAGGCGTCCACGCCAAACACCCCGTTGTCATGATCCCCGGCGTCATCTCGACCGGTCTCGAGAGCTGGGGCACCGATGCAAACTCCCGCCAGTACTTCCGCCGCAGACTCTGGGGTAGTTGGAGCATGATGCGCGCGCTAGTCCTCGACAAGACCGAATGGAAGAACCACATCATGCTAGACAAGGAAACCGGCCTGGATCCCCCCGGCATCAAGCTCCGCGCTGCGCAGGGCTTCGACGCTACCGACTTCTTCATCACCGGCTACTGGATCTGGAACAAGATCCTTGAGAACCTCGCAACCATCGGCTACGACCCGACCAACGCCTTCACCGCCGCCTACGACTGGCGTCTCTCGTATCCCAATCTCGAGCGCCGTGACCAGTACTTCAGCCGACTGAAATCCTATATCGAGACCGCCGTCCTCGTTGGCGGCGAAAAAGTCACCCTCGCGTCACACAGCATGGGCTCACAGGTGGTCCTGTACTTCCTTAAATGGGTCGAGCACCCGGACCACGGCGCCGGCGGCCGCGACTGGGTCAACAACCACATCGCAAATTGGATCAACATCAGCGGATGCATGCTGGGAGCCGTGAAGGGCCTCACGGCTGTCCTCTCCGGCGAAATGCGCGACACCGCCCAACTCAACGCCTTCGCCGTCTACGGCCTCGAAAAATTCCTCTCCAAGGAAGAACGCGCCGAAATCTTCCGCGCCATGCCCGGCATCAGCAGCATGCTTCCCAAGGGCGGCGAAGCCGTCTGGGGCAACGCAACCTGGGCCCCGGACGACCAACCCAACCAGTCCCAGTCCTTCGGCACCGTGCTCAACTTCCGCGAAACCAACTCCTCCCACAGCAGCAAGAACATGACCGTCGCCGAAAGTCTCAACTACCTCTTCGACGAATCCGAGACCTGGTACCGCAACCAAGTGCTAAGCAGCTACTCGCACGGCGTGGCTCACACAGCCCGCGAGGTCGAAGAAAACGAAAACAACCCCCGCACATGGCTCAACCCCCTTGAAGCTCGGCTCCCGCTCGCCCCAGACCTCAAAATCTACTGCTTCTACGGCGTCGGAAAACCCACCGAGCGGAGCTACTACTACCAGGAAGAACGCGACCCGCTCGTCAACCTGAACGTCAGCATCGACACGACAGTAACTAACAACGACGGCGTCGACCACGGCGTCCTCATGGGCGAGGGTGACGGCACCGTTAATCTCCTGAGCACGGGCTACATGTGCGCCAAGGGCTGGCGCATGAAACGATACAATCCTGCTGGAGTGCAGGTCAAGGTCTTTGAGATGCCACATGAACCGGATCGTTTCTCGCCCCGTGGTGGTCCGAACACAGGTATGCCCCTACCCCCTTAGCATTCCCTTCAACCTTCGGAAGAATCAATCTGATAAGAGTATAGGCGACCACGTCGACATCCTCGGCCGCGCATCCCTTAACGACCTCATTCTTCGCGTAGCAGGCGGCCAAGGAGACCAGATCGAAGAGACGTTTGTCTCGCGGATTAAGGAGTATGCTGATCGGGTACAGGTTTTTGATGATGAATGAACGAGATAGATGTATTGTAATGTGAGTAGAAGGCGTTTTATTTTCTTCTTTTCTTATCGAGGATTACTATCTGTACATACTACCTAATATATGCGTGAGATGGTGCTGGGTGGTATATTTAGGTTCATCATAAAATAGATTTGTGAATCCTATGATGGTCATGTATCATTATTTTCACCGTTGGGGCTTGTTATTTGTCACGTTGGGGAGGTTTGATGGGTGGATGGATGGATGGATAGTGGAACAACTATGTTGTAGTCAGTTATGGGGTTTTTGGCTGAATTTGCATGTGATCTGATCTCATATCTATCTTTATCGCAAGACTAACATGGTCTTAATATAGTAATTTACTTCTAAGCTACATATGGCTAGACTGAAGAAAACGCAAATACTTCCAATAGGAGCATAGTAGTAGTCATTCAAGAAGTTCCTAGAGACAAAAATGTATACAACAGAAAAGAGGAAATGGAATAAAACATATATGATACAACATTCATAAATCATAACGCTACCTGATTATAATTAAGAATAGGTTCTGCTAGTGGATACTCTCATCCATCCGATCAAACACCCCTTCCCTCAACCCGTCACACACAGCCGCGACTGATTAAGAATTAGGCTATAGGAGCGAGCAGGCGGTAGAGTAAAGAAATGGTTCTCTTGCACCGGTTGATACCAGAAGAACCACACAACCTAGGAAGGAAACAAGAAATAGAATCAAGTCCGGTCCAAAAGGTAGTCCCGTGAGGACGGGTTTAGAGGATGTAGAGTGTGACGGTGTGGGTGACGTGTTTCCATAGCAAAGCGAATCAACAAAATTCAGGCACACGTGTTGTTCGGGAAAGATGCCTCCGTCAACATCTATATTCCCGCGTCCCCTTCCTCGTGGGGGCGTGCTTGGGGCTTCCTTTCGGCTTCGTTCCTCTTTTTGGAGGATGAGCAGCCTGTTTGAGCACGGCCCTCCGTATAACAAACAATAAAGGTCTCCGGTGCGCAGAAGAGACCGTAATACAAAGGTTCATCATAACCCCTCTGTCTATATGCCAATGCAATGGTCATTAAAATAAAAAAGCATTGAATCCCTTGAAAGCACAGCGAATGAGGTGCAAGCAAGTTGGGCGCCTCAATCAACGTTTTCTTCATTGAGTTCCCAGTCCCAGGCGCCAGTGGTGTGAGCGATCGACACGAAGATAAAATATGTACCTGGCCGAGCAAAAAAAGAAGGTAAAAAGCTCGACCAGCTGGTGAAAAGCGAAAGACTAAAGTAGGATGTAAACGAGTGTGGTCGTCCGGATTCGTCCAGGCGAGATGCAGAAAGCGAATGTCTCCAACGGGGCATCAGGAGTTGCACGACCAGATGGGATGCGGTGCTGTGCAACCCTGAGCATTCGGTATTAGTATTATCGACGGAGCTTCGAGGAGGTCGGGCTGCAGAATCATGCGGCAACGCAGCCCAGAAAAGTGTGCGGTATGATGTACAGTTAGGTCAAGAGGAAGAGATAAAACATGGCAGTATCCAGGGTGACCAATCCAAAACGGAAAATCGAAACCATCCGACCTGGTCTGCGAAATAAAAAAGCGGTATTAAAGATATTAAGTGTCGAAATCGGCTCAATGCAATAAACCCAGCATGTCGTCAAATGTACTAACGCCGTTCGTAAATAGATGCAAGAAGTGGATGCTGTATATGCAGGGAGGTGGGTGCAAAATGGTGGTCGACTGGCTTAGGCACTGAGCACATGTCTTCCAGACTCGACATCGGCAATGGGCGAAGCCAAAGACTCTCCTTCCCAGGTGTAGTGATCGTCCACCGGGCTCAGAGAGCCGGAAGAGATGGAGGATGATGATCCAACCGTCCACTCATCGCTGTCAAGGTTGAAGTCGCCGTCGTAGGCTGCCAAGTCGTAGCCATATTCGCGAGCAGAGTCTCCGATCTCCACATAGTCGTAGTCCCAGCGGAAAGTCTTGTCGCTCTGGACGCGCGGGAGGAATCGGGTCTTGGCGAAGTAGAATGCAACCGTGGCCAGGAGGCCACCACCGACCAAATCCACTGCATAGTGGTGCGACAGGTACATGGTTGCCCACCACATCCACAGGGTGTAAGTGACGAACAAGGGCTTCAGCCGCGGGAAAACATGGCTCATGAACAAAGCGGCCAGTGTCGAATCCGCAGCGTGCAGAGAGGGGAAAGCACCAAACACGACAGGGGACTGTCTGAAGCCCGAGGTGTACAGGTCGATGCCGAAAAGCTTGTCGATGCGAGCAAGACCCGCGGGGTTACCCGGCATGGAGTAGTCGGCCGGTGCCAGCCCGTAAAGGTTCTCGTACCACGGAGGCGAGCAGGGGAAAAACAGCTGGATGGCGACAGCAGTCATGCTGATGTAACCGAAAGTCCGTGCAAAGAGGGGAGTCGTGCCAGGAGGACCGAAAATGAACATGATGAGGGAGCAGACAAATGGCGCGCCATAGTGACAGATGCCATAAGGCAGCCACGCCAGCACGTCCAAGACAACGTTCTGATGAGCAGACAGAATGTTGCTGATGTTCGCTCCGTAGAGGATGTTTTCTAGGGCCGGAAGCACGCGGACCCAGATTGCCGGGCGCCAATCGCTTGGAACGAATCTGATTCAAAAAGCGTCAGTTCCCAAAGTTCTCTCGAAATCGAGCAGACTGCGATCTGAGAGGGTTGTTCACTTACTGGCAGGCGTAGAAGAAGATGAGCCACCCCGCAATTGGAAGGAACGGCAAGAAAAATTGGCGAGTAATCGGGAGCAGGAGAGAAAGGAGAAGTAGGGTAAACATTGCCGTCTTCCCCAAAGGCCCAGGAGATCCCATCACACTGAGGGAGAAGATCAGGAGGATCAGCAGGAGCAAGTATTGAAAGTCATACAACGTCCAACGATGGCTTTGGAGTGATCGGAGCGTATCCATAGGCGAAAAGGACGTTTGCAGAGACGATATCGAAGATGTCGGAGAGAGCCTGCTGCGAAGCTTGGAGCGGATCTTCCGTCGCATGCGATGCGGGACGAGGAGCTGGATCGACCGCCATGGTACTTGGATCTGAAGCTTGCCGAACTGATTCTGCGTGCGATCCTTCCAAGAAGGAAGGGTGGAATTCATCTCGGCGGCTAGTCACGTTGGAACCCCCGTAGGTTCTTCGATATCCAGAAAACCCAGCACTTTAGGCGTAGATGAAGGGAAGAATGTCGCCAGAATTGGGGCTCGAGAATATCAAAGGAAGCGCCCGGCGGAGTCGGCGGAAAGGGGGATTCTGGGCGTCAACGTGACAGAAGCTGAAAGGGGCGGCGTCTGGAACAAAAACGTTTCGATCGCTGGCTGGCTCAAGGCCCGACAGGCGTTTGGTGAAGGCGGAGAAATACCAGATTGGAGGGATCCAGTAATGAAGTGGAAGCGCAGGCTCCGGTCTCCAGCGGCCAAACGAGGATATTCGGGGATGGTCACGTTGCAAGGGTTACTCTGACGCAAGGCGGACAGTAAGGGCGAGAGAGGAAACCAAGAACGAGGGAGACGTTTTGCGAGGGGCGCAAATGGCCACGGAGCCGGAGGGTCGAGGAAGGAAGAGAGATTGGAGAAAGAGGAGGAGGAGCGGAAGTATAGGCGGGAGGAATGGAGGGAAAAGAAAAGAGAAAACGGAAGAGAAAAGGAAGAGAAGAGGGAACAATGGATGGGATATGAGGATTTTGCAGGTTCTCGATCAGCAAGACAGACGACGGGGCGGACAGCGACGGGTACGGGGGCTTACGGGGCCTGACTGGGAAGTCGTACTCGTATTACCGGTTTGGCCCCGTATCATGTCGTCACTACTATCCCTAATCAGGGTCGTCCGGGTAAAGCCACTAGCCCGCTTTGGGAATGGGAAAAAGGAGGCCTTCCCCTGTTGGCTCTAGCTCGCATCGGCGGTGCCTCGGTGCGCTGGACAGGCAGATCCGAGGTGCCTGAGAGAACCAAGGTCCAACCTTTCCATATTGCAGAAATTTTCTTCATGGTCGGGCAACGGAGTCCGCAACAACCGAACTGCGGGTGAGGCTAAAATGGAGAGATGGGTACAAACAAGCATAAGCCTTGCTTTGTCCTGCCTGGCAAGGCATAATGTAAACGGATCCAAACCGCAGCTCTCGGAGAAGTCGGGATATACTACGGAACATGCAGGCTAGTTACTACGGATTTTGGCTGACACCGAGCAGCAGCCAGAGAAACAGACATTAACCTTCTCCGCAAGGGAATGACCTATGAGACAGGCTCGATGCTGACAAGCAAGTTCAAATGAATCTGACACATCACTTCATTAATGTGAAGAGGGGGGGAAAGAGTCTCGAGGGAAATGGAATAAGCAACCTCAAAATCCAAATAAACAATAATAATCATCCATCTCTCAGCGAGACGCCCAATTCAGTTCATCCCAGCAAAACTCCCGGATGCTCATTTCATGGGATTCCGGACTGCCCCTGGTGATTGGTCTTGGGAGCTCCACCCGCCAGCCATCCGCAGCCAATTGGAAGCAGTGGATCTCCAGAACCAATTTCGCTTAACCCACAACGGTCTCACAGTCAGCAGCATCCGACCAAAGAAATCGCCGATTACCCTGCAGCCAAGACCCGCTGTCCCTGAATAGTCTGGTTGGTCACAATATCATCCTGCGCATTATGCGCATTATCAAATCTCCTCCCTCTTACCCTGCGGAAGCTAGGCACGATCGGACCCGGCATCGACACGATGCTATGTTGCTGGTGTGGGTTTTTGTACCTGTCTAGCTAGCTGGCTGGCAAGGCTTATACGGAGTCCATGTGCCGGAACTGCCGTGTAAAACTAATCCAGAGGGAGCAACCGGATGTTGGCAAAGACTTTTCCTCCCCCGGATCTCAATCGGTGATCTAAACTTCCGGATCCCGCTGCTTCATATACACAGTCTCCATAGTCTGGACTCAAAGACTGGAAAATTCGAATTTAGACCTTTGTCCAAACAGAGTAGCTAGCGGCTATGGAGCTCAGACGGATAGACATGACCGTACCACCCATGACTGGGTCAAGCAGCTCGGACGATAGCCGCGTGCCCAGCCCGGCCTGATATTTGCTATCTCGACTAGCTATACAGTGATCAGCCAACAGCTGCTTTTTGTTGAGGGATTGTCCACTGGCGCACCCCCTCCGTCCTGCACAAAAGTCTAACAAGGCTAGTCTCCCAACCAGCCATCTTTCTTTTAACACGAAACAGCCTGCGCCTGTCATATGCCCGATCTAACGCTCTCGAGGCACGCACTGCTGCTGCTGTAAGAAAAAAGAGCGCGTTGATGAAAGGGACCACGCATGCGCCTCCCCCTCCGTCATCCGCTAAATTACCACCTACATAGTAGACCGTGACTTTACTCCATAGTTACCTAATAACTAAGGTGTTAGCCTAAGGGACACAGACACAGGCGATGAATAATTAAACCTCCGTGTTCTAGCTAACTAACTCACTAAACTATTTAGTTATAGGGGACATGACATTTTCAGGGTCGAGGATAGGCAATGATGTGCAAGTCTATGGGAGTCTAAGCAGCAGTCTAGTAGGGAATTATGTGTATTGGGCACACGAGTGAGAAAGCTGGAAGCGCCGGGCCACTCATTACCGTCTGGTATGGTATTGTTAGCATACCATACGTATGGTACGCGGGCTCCATACCATAGTTGGGATACCTCGAGATGGGTGGGAAGATCACGGCAAGCCGCGCCGGACAGAGATGATCAGTTCACATCCGAGTAAAAAAAGAGAGAAAAGACTATCAACTCACTGGTAGGCTTTTTTTGGTGTGAAACTCTCTGCAGTAGTTAGTTGGAATTCTGGGGATCTAAGTGGCAGCTGACCATGGCACACGGCAGATTACTGCATCCATCGTGATGAAGCGGGGGGCGGCGCTTCACTTCAACTATGATGATTACTGCCAGCTTCATTATTGAGTTGTCTATCTGTGTAAAAGTAAGATATAGTAATATACTGCGTTGGGGGAGCACAGCGCTCAATGAGGGTATGGTTTCAGAATGCGGCGTCATGGGTAGTTTTGGCCCCAATTTACTTTTGATGACAATCTCCATCGTGGTCGTGGCCGCGTTAATTACTTCGTTACCTCAGTATGTTACTCTTGCATCGTTGAAATTCCGCTGATTCAGCGTCAGGTGATCATTGCGGTAACAAGATAGATACATTGGGAACACTTTACGAGGGCATATGGATCCAACTTCATTTTGGAGGCTTAGAGAGCACAGCTTCTTCTTACGTATCACAGCGGGCAGTGCTTTCGATAGTTAACTTGATAGATTCGTTGCTGGGATGAATGGAGAGCTAAGATTAAAGGACGAAGGAATGCCGCAGTCCTAATTCCAGCCGCATAGGCAGCAAGCAACCCCAGTATGGAGGTATACCTTGCGAATCAGAAAGGGATGCGAGAACAATAGTACAATACTTAGAGGGGGCAGTGAACGTGTCTCATCTATTCTTACAAATTAATTATCAGAAAAGGGTCCGATATTGAAACAAAACCCTTTTTCTCTCCCTCCCCTAAATCCAGGGATATTTCTCGAAAGCAAGCTCGTATTCGGACTTTCATGATGGCTGAGGGTTGACGGTTGCCTGGCCGTGAGTGGATCGGCATAAGCTTGGGCCAACACAACGCGACCACCGCCCGACGCCGAGCCGTGGCTTGGACCAGATCATCATCATCATCACTACTTCAGATTCGAGTCGGGAGTATTCAACGTCAGGGATGCATAGGGGGGAGAATATACAAGAAGTTGGAGGATACTGACAGCAGCCACCCTTCCATGTCTCGAAGAAAGCAAGAAGGGGTGTCCCCGCTTCTTCATGTTGCATCATGGACATTCGGTTCCGTTCGGAGGGCAGAAAAACATGGGGTTCAACGTCGTATACATCATAGTACATCATGGAAAGCCGAGACAACCGTGGGCGGAGTTCCAGCCCATCAGCCACAATCAACTCGAAATCTGGTTTTTCTTTTCTTACTTGCAACTGTGATCCGAGCTTCTCGAACGTCTCCCACATTATTGATGGATATTGATCTGACATCAGGAACGAGCAGTGAGTGAGTGAGTGAGTGAGCGAGCCTTGCATCACTTAGTGCAAGTAAGGGTACATACATACCCCATTTTACATACATACAACAATACAAGCATAACTTCCTTTCTTCCTTTACTTTCACAGCTAAACTCATGATGGGGTTTTTCGTTTGACCGCCGCCCGGTCGGCAGCTGCAGGAAGCCCAGCCCCATAGCATCACCTGATGGTCAAGTTGTTTTTCTTCTTTTGCTCGTGCCATCGATGGGCACGAATCAGACAGCCATCTCATCTGCAGGGTGGTCCGGGCAATGAGGTCATGCCGCATGCCCGTTCCGCCATGATGTTCGTTGTTTAGATCATTTGAGTATCTGCCCGCATGCCACTCGCCCGGTGGTCAAATTAACTCTTGGATCGCCTCCAGGGTGTATACTGGCCCGCCAGTCGGGTATCGCTTTCCTAAATGGATGGATAGATTACAGAATACGCAGCGAAGTATACGATGTATATTCTAGACTGCTACGGAGTAGTTGATTCTCTCACCCCGGAAGATCTACACTACTAAGGTAGGTAACTCCATCTAGTATCACAGTACATACATAAGTAGTAAAAGTATACTTAGCAAGCCAATCACGACACAATCCAACACCAGCACTGCCTTGCAAACTGACTGCAGTGCACTGTAACAGCCTGATGGATTACTTACCCACTCACAATCAAGAGCGAAAATGATCTCCTGTCACTCAAGGCATTTATCCATTCTCAACACTTGCGATTGGTAACATTCTATCTAAGCCATCCCAGGTACAAGTACCACAAAATTGGTCCCAGTTGTACAACCTAGAATACTACTACTAGACCCATAACTCCGCAATGCGGCTCAAAGCCATGCTCCCATCATTCCCCCCCTTACAACTTGTGAAACATACCTAATCCTGAAGGAATCGTAGATGGAATGCTTCTAACTTCTCACCGGGGAGAAAATCAAGCGCCAAAGGTGTGGCTGGCAGGGGGAGCAGTTGAGAACCGGCATGCTGTTTCAGCCCAATCGATCGACGAGCAATGGCATGCCAGTGCACCCACCTCCCGCGAGCCTTACCGGCTTTTAGCCTTTATTTGTTTTTTCTTTTCTTTTTTTCGGTTATACTTTTCTAGAAAAATAGTGATTTGTTGGAGTCGGTTCGGTTGGTGGTTAATCAGTCAGCCTGCCAGCCTGGCTGGGCTATGCAGTGCAGATCAAGGTACGGAGTAGATGACTGGATGGATGAACGGGTGGATAATGCCGTCGGCCTGCTTTGATCTAGGGAATGCAGGCACAGCCACTACTACTTACTACTACCAGTGTCACTGCCACTGGTTGGGGAGGTGCTACTAGGTGCTATGTAGTACTAACTTAGGTGGCATTGTTTGCTTTGTCTGTATGCTTGTTTGCCCGCTTGCTAGTTGCAGTGATGGATCTATATTTGGGGATATAAGTGACTACTGTATGTATAGTACTTATATATAGTATCAGATCGTTGTTGGAGAAGAATTGTATGGGTGGTGCCTAGTTGTAGTAGGTATATTTGGTATTGATGTTGTAGAGTATGTATGTATTCAGTATTGGGGAGTATCGGAAAGAATGAATACCTAATAGTATGCGATGGAGGTATTTTTGGAATGTTAGTTGATCGAGCATGAACTAGTAGTAAGAGGTGTGGTGATGGCTGCCCGGGGTTTATGTTGCCCCAGGTTAGAGGGAGGAGAAGTGCTTGCCTGAGGTTGTAGTGGTTGGTTGGTGGATGCCTTAAGGCTCTGGGACAACGTTTGCAGGGCTGATTACTCTAGGAGGATTTGCTCCAGTGATTATGTGGGGTAATGTTTTTATTTAGAATATTCAATATGCTATCAGCTTAACTAAACTCAATGTGTGATTTACTAGGTCTATGTACATGTTCCAAATCAATGACCCAACAACGCCGAAGATGATATCATTTTGAGCTCTTGTCGTCCCGCCAGAAACGCCATCCATAAGAATCAATCTTTTAAATCGAACTGTCTCCCATGCTCGGCTAATGCTCATGACTATGGGAGTCAGCCAGCATCTGGAACCCCTTCACCAGCCCCATTGCAGAGCCTGCTGCAACGCCTCCGACTAGAACCATCTGCAAGCCGCCAATGACACCGCGTCTGATGTTCCGATATCCTTTCCATCCGCTGACGAAGCACGTCTTGCCGTAACCGAACAAGAACAAAGCAACGGCCATTGTGGCGATTGACCAGCGCAGGGCAGAGAGTACATCATGGGGCCCAACGAAGAAGTAGGGGAGGAGTGGCACGAAGCCACCGATGAAGTATCCCAATGCAATGGTCAAGGCACAGATGAAGGCACGAGAGCCAGAGGGTTCCTGGACGGTGTGATGGAAGTTCATGAGGAAGGAGGGGAGGTTAGGGGATGAGGAGAGGTGTCGCGTGAGCTCTCCCACCAGCTCTGCGGGGAGGTCATAGGGCGCAAAGACATCCGAGATCGTCTCGGTCACCGATGCGGGGTCGGTTAGAATCTCTTGCTTTGTTTCCTTCAGGGTTGCGCGGTAGGACTCCCTAAACATGGTCAGCATATTTCTTTTGCTAATTTCATATACTTGGGGAAGTTTGAAAACTACTCACTCTTCGCTCTTTGCACCCAAGTAGCCTCCCAAGCCCATGGAGATGGCTCCTGCAATGAGTTCGGCCATGCCGCCAAAAACCACGACTTTGGTGTCTCCCAGAGCAGATAAGCCTGCGGTCAGGGCAAATGGAACCGTCATGCCGTCGGAGAGACCGATGATAGCGTCGGAGACGATACGTCCGTCAACGATTTTGGACTCCTTCTTCTCCGCTTTTTCCCGGCAGACTGACCGGGATGAGGAGGACTCGCTGTCGTCGCCATTTCGAAGGGAAACATGCAACTCCTTTTCCAGATCGGGTTGAGTGAATTCCTCTGAAACGGGGGAGTAGTTGGTAAGAAGGCCTCGAAGAGAAGAGATCGACATTTTGACGGGAATTGGGATGCTGTTTCAACCAAGATTGAGGAGAAAGATGGAGGAGAAAACTTCGCCGCTGGGCTGGCAGGTTTCACAGTGGCAACCAGACTAAATAAGCAGCAGGAAGACTAGCCGGAAAATCGGGAGATTTCTGCTGAAGAGGACGATTGTTGGGTTGAAGAAGTAGTAGATTTCAGAACAGTTGGATCGGAGCAACAATTGACCTATGGAGGGCGACGAGCAAATCACAGTAGCAACATCAGCATGATCTCAGGCTCAGGAAAGTTTTTAGTGATTATAATTATTCAGTCGGTCTACGGGAGCGTCGGGTACTACATATGAATGAGCTGCATGCACCGAGGAAGAGCGACAAGGAAAAGGACGGGAAAAACGCATTGAAGCGACCCCCTCCAGGATGCATCTCGTGCTCCGGTGATAGCCAGCCAGGCTTATCATCTGCCTATGGAGAGAAGCTGACCGACAACGTGCCTGATGGCTTCGCAGTCATCTGCAGTCGCGGGGGTGCGCGAATGCGGCACGTGGGCCTCTGATTGGTTGGGGCCGGCGGGATACTGCAATCTGGGATCCACTTCACTGCGGAGTCCCTGAAGCTTGGGCCGGTTAGGGAAGGCGCCCTTGCCTGTTTGAGCTTAGTGGTACTATGGGTGTCTCCGCCGATGAGAGTGACGGCCCAATCAGAAATGTCTATTTCCTAATACAGCACTCTTTGTCCCTATCACACTCCACTTCTACTGGCTGACTAGTACAATCGGCTGTCCGGTCCAGCCCCGATTAGTCGGCCGGCCAGGTTGAACTGCAATCGAGAAGCACGGCTGAAGCACGATGCACCGCTTGCATCCACTATCGTCTACTATCGTCTGCTATCGCATGCACCGGAGGACGCCGATTTCACCGATTTCACTAATTTCAACCTCCTTCTCTCCTCTCCGGGCAGTCCTTCGCGTGAGCGGAGACGCTTTTCACCTCCCTATTTCGGCTTAATCGACGCAGCTATCTCCGCCCTACTGCTTCATGACCAATCATTCCAGCAGCTGATCAACTATCCTCCGCGGCTGTCCAGTCCGGATTGTGCTCGTTGCTCCAATTTCTTTCCCCTCATCCCACTGCGGAGTACATCCGAAAGGTGGCATGTCCTTGTGTTGCCTTGCTCGCAACAAAAGACTCACGCGAGCAGCCCGTCTGCCTACCACGTGGGATGGGCCATCTCGCGTGCCATTGGACCGTGGTTGGCAGTTACGGAGCATCGCGACATATTCTTTGGCTTCTAGCTGGCTAGTGAACGCAAGATGTCTGCCGTGGTGGATCCCCCCATGCGTCGAAGGAGGCCTTCGTGCATCCGACCTGGCCCGGATGCGTCCTTCATCATGCGAGGCAGGAAAGATAAATATCCCACCGGTCAGCCCCGGTGTCGGTGAGGCTAGATTCTGAAGTTCAGCGGTCTCTCAGCAAAAGTGGTTGCGGAGCAGTAATCAACATGAAGCTGAACGTGGCTGCTATCTCGGCCCTGGCCACTGTGGCCTCCGCTCTCCCTCACAGGCGTAATGGCGAACAATGGGATCACATTCGCTCCAACGTAAGTGCAGCAGTCTGTTGAATAACGTTAGTGCCACTGACGTGGACAGATCAAACATGTCATCTACTTGATGATGGAGAACCACTCATTCGACAACATCGCGGGTTACTGGGACTTTCATCCCGACATCGACAACTTGCGCAACATCTCCTACTGCAACGAGTACACCAATCCCAATTGGACGGTCTGGGACGAACCTCTCAACATCTGCGCCGCGCCCTTCGAAACCGAGGTGCCATTGACCGACCCGGACCATAACTTCGCCGGTACCTCCTATGAGATCTTCCGCAAGTGGCAGCCCACTAAGGACGATGTTCCCAACATGGGCGGGTTTATTGAGCGCCAGTCGGAGAAATACGCATCCAGCCCCGGCGAGTCCAGCTTCGTCATCAAAGCCTATGATGAGAAGAAGACGGCAACTCTGATTGAGGTTGCGAAGAACTTTGCCTTCTGGGATAGCTACGTGAGTTGCGGGATTGTATTGGAGATGAGCGCATGCTGATCAGACAGTTCGCCGAACACCCTGGACCGACCAACACCAACCGCCAGTTTGCTACTTCGGGCTCGACCTGTGGTTTCGTTGACAATACCTACCAGGCTGCCGGCTGGTATGCCAACTACACCGGTACGACTTGTGCGACCTCGATCTTCGAGGCCCTCAGCAACAAGAACATTACCTGGAAGAACGTAAGCGACGCGGCACATTTGTCAAAACGGAACAATGGCTAAGTGACACAGTATTATGAGACGGACATTGTCGATGCCTACATGTACAAGGTGAGTGTGCCAGATTTCCATGTCAGTATGATTCTAATTAGGAACAGTGGGTGCAAGACAACGCCATGGACCGTCTGGTCCACTCGGACCAGTTCTACCGCGATCTCGAGGAGGGAACGCTGCCCCAGTTCTCCTACTATAACCCCGAGTGCTGCACCATTGACTCGATGCACCCGACCAGCAACATGGCCTCGGGTGAGCAGCTGATCAAGCATCTGTACGATGCAGTGCGCAAGTCCAAGTACTGGGACAACGTGTAAGTGTCTGCAGAGGTTACTTTGAGCTTAAGCAACTGACCTATCAGTCTGATCATCCTCAACTTTGACGAGCACGGTGGTTTTGCTGATCACGTCCCCACGCCGATCAATGTTCCCCAGCCCGAGGACGGCATCACCTTCACCGGCATGTCTGACGGCCACAATGTAACCTATGACTTTACCCGTCTTGGTGTTCGGTGAGTATCCCGCCATAGGGTATCTGACTTGAAGCTAACGGCATAGTGTGCCCTCGTTCATCATCTCGCCCTACATTCCGGCGAACCATTTGATCCACGACCAGGGCACCATGTATGCCAACAACTCGGCCTACACGCACACCTCCTTCCTGCACTTCCTTCAGGAACTGTGGGGTCTGGAGGGACTGAACAACCGCGTGCAATGGGCCAAGACGTTCGAATACATTTTCTCGAGCGAGAAGCGCGACGACACACCGGAGAAGTTGACGACGCCGACCTGGTACGGCAGCAGCTGGGAGCCGAAGCCGGATCCCTATTACAAGCTGAACCAGAACTACGACTATTACGAGAACCTAGATTAAACTCATGATGATGAGACGGATGAGATGTGACTAACATTATGATGACTGCAAATACGCAAAGTTGATTTCAATTCGAGTCAATGGTGATTCGTTGATTCATGTATCTCGTCAGCAAAAGAGAAGAAGAAAAAGAACTAGTCAGCATGATGCATAGCTAATAATGAATGCAAAGCCAGCGTGTACAGCATAGCATACCACCCGCACCCCATGCAGAAAAACCCAAACCAACACATAACTCCAATCCCCAGTATTATTTGAACCCACCCCAGTTTGATCTCATTGCCCCTTCTTCTTCTCCCCCTCCTGACCCTGATCATGATATCCAGCCCACTCACCGACCCTCCCCGCCGCACTCCAAAACCGCCCCCTCAACCCCTCATCACTCGCCCCAGCGGCATTCTCATTCCAATTCGTCGGCTTCGTCATATCCCACAGTCGACTCTTATACGCAGGAAAGGAAGTATGATTCCACATGTTAACCAGAATACTACGCAATCCACCAGATCAGTTAGCCTATGCTCACACAACAAAACAAATGGAAGAAGGTGGGGGCAAGAAAGTACCTCTGACTCCGATCCAAATAATCCTCATCCTTCAACTCCTTCACACCGACGGTGACTCCATCACGAGAGAAGGTGACATTCTTCTTCTCCATTTTGGATCGGGTATTGCGCTTCACGTCTTGAATGATGGAGTAGGTGATGTAGAAGATTGTGCCCAGGATGAGCAGCACGAAGAGGAGGATGAAGAGGGGGTAGAGTCTTGTCATTTTTATTTTCTTCTCCCCGTAGGGGTATAATGTGTGTTGTGGTTGTGGTGGTAGATTGTAGGTAGGTAGGATGGAAGTAAAGTGAAGTGTGGGTGTTGACGCGAAAAAGTGCCGTTCTTAAGTTTGAGTCGAAGAATTGCACACCTTATAAGGCGTAGGGCTGATCGAATGGATCGCGGAACTTGGAGAACAACTTCGTATTGGGGTGGGCTATCCACGAGGGTGGTATTTATTTGATTTATTTCTGGGGGGAATTAGTTGTGGCTTTGACAGTGTCAAATAATAACTAGACACGAGAAAAGCAAAGCCACAAGTCGGTTAACTACAGAGTTTTAAGAAGAGGAGAAAAAAGTAAGCATGGTTCATCATTCTCTCTCTCTCTCCTCAAATTCAGGAATTCATGAACCAACCAAGGAAAAGACGTGTGGCTTTGCCGTAACTCGGACAATAATGCCAAGCTGTGTGCGGCGGGGCGCAAGGAACTGTTTTCTGCGGTTTCCACCAACGGAGAATTCGGGTGCCTAGGATGCCTAGACTATATTTGTGTGTATTCTTGGTATATGAGTGTGGCTTGGGTGAAGAAGGGGGAGAACAGGATAGATCTAAATAGGTGAGTGAGTATGGCTGTGTAGGTAAAGAAGTATTTATAGTAGTTGGATGATTGGGGAAAATATGTAGGAAGAGCAGGGATGTCTTTGCTGCAGGTCATGCAGTCATTTCAGTTTCCATCAGCATAACCATTACCCGATTAGGTATGCAGAGCGCGATGGGGGGGAGGGAAAGCGGGAAGGGATGATGGGGATGGGATGGGAGATGCAGGGCTCATTAATGCATAAGAGTAGTACGTAGTAATATTCTTGCCAAAAGTAACTACTAGAACTGTCATCTGATTTGGCACCTGATTGATTGTTATTGATGAAAAGGTGTGTATGTAAGGTACGGTGGAACGTGACCACAACTATCTCACTCACTCATATGAATAACATTAATGCTTACAAGTAGAACATTCAACAACAATTCCATCTAATATACAAACACATCTATAACAACAAAATTAATCTGTCTCTCCCCATGAAATAACCATGCATACAAACAAACAACCTTCCCCAGTCATGCAGTTTCACTCATACTGTGTAGTATGCTGCATACATGATTCATGATGACGACACAGCACTCTCTCAACTACCCAGGAATGGCACTCCAACGCAGAATATACTAAGTACTACTACACACAACAGACAACACTCCAAAACCCTCCCATCCCAATCCCTTCTCCATTTCCCATTCCCACATTCTAACTACTATTAATCCCCTAATACCTAATCAATCACCATACCACTCCCATATTAAATATGAAGGAAATGTGCGACATCCCCTTCCTCCCCATCTTCCCCATCTGCTTCCAATGCGGAACCGACCAGAATCCCTGTCGCTGTAAGGTCGTGGGGCCGACATTAGGTATGTTTTCCCATTCATTCAATCTCTTCATGATATATGCTGATGAGAGTAGGGTTTATTTGTACGGTGGTCGCGGCTGTATGTAGACATACTACAACTACTTACTATTGATCTTCGCCAATGGCTTCAACTGACGGGCTGCAGGTCATTTGCTATCCGGCGTCGATTTTCTGTGGATGTTGTTTGACGCAGACTGGGAAGGAGTATGTCTTTCTTTCCTATTCTTTTTTTCACACTGCTACCTGTCTTACTGCGATGGACTGTGATGTACTGACTTGTCTACTAGTGTTCTTGGATACCCGGTCAAAATCAATGGGGCCGTGAGCAACGCAATACCCATCTAGTAATAGTAGTAGCTACATCTTTAAGTAATAGGTAGACTGCATAAATTCATCAGAACATTAACATTATCATACTAGCTATCGATGCTCCGTGGAGCAGCAATAAACCAAACAAGCCGTAGCAATTATACGAGCCATGCAAACAGGTATCCAGTCGACGTGAAAAGCATAAAAACCCCATTCCACCTCCCATTGTACACCTTGGTCATTATCATAGAAGCCATATCATTCCATCCACTTAAACCGATTTCAGCTTCTCCTTCAGTCGCGAGAAAAAGCCCTTCTTCTTCTTTTTCTCTTCCTTGCCATTCGTCGCCGCCCCAGCGCCGTTGTTGGTAGCCGGCTTCGATGTGGCGGCCGCGTTGTTGGTCGGCGCGGACTCTGCTGGCTTAGTGGCACCACTGGTCGGTGCACCGCTGGTCTCGGTGGGATCGGCAGTCTTCGTTGCACTGGCCCCCGTGGCACCAGCTGTCGGAGCGGATGTTGTGTCCTCGGGAGCAATGCCACTCTCCACGCCAGAGTCGACAGTCTTGGTCGCACTGGCTCCCGTCGCACCAGCAGCAGGCTTCGTCGGAATCTCAGTCGTCTCCTCACGGCCAGATACGCCAGGTCCCGACTCTTCAGGAGCCTTCGATGTGGCAACCCCGGTGGTCACCGTGGGCCCATCGGTTGGGGTAGTGGCCCGGGGAGAGATTTGGGCCGAAGCAGGCCCACCACCAGTAGCCCGCGGTGCCCTCTCGGAGGCAGGTTCAGCGCCAGATCCTGGTGCTGTCTCGGAAGTGGCAGCAGTGATCACAGGTGCTGGTGTGCCAGACTGGTTGCTCACAGGAACCTTCTGTTGAAGCTCTTCCTCAACTTCTCGCTTCTCTCCGACGGCCTCCTCGACACCTGCTGCCTCCGGGTCCTTATGAGCTTCAGAGATCGACTGCTTCACCACATCTGGGACATCGTGCGCCGGCAACCCGCTAGTTGTCTCTTTCTGAAAGCTCTGTGCAGCGGTGGGCCCAGACACAGAGTCAAGACCAGTAGTGGTACCCATACCAGTGGCAACGTCAAGGCCAGTGGAAGGACCAAGATTGGTCGAAGGAGCAGCCCCAGCGGTAAATCCAAGTCCAGATGAAGTACCAAGCCCAGCAACAGTGGTAGGTGCCGGCGCACCAGTAGAGTTGTCCACCGGAACCTTTCTTCGAAGTTCCTCTTCCATCTCTTTCTTCTCATCAACAGCCTCCTTGTTGGTGGCTGCTTCAGGGTCCCGGTGGGCTTCAGACATCGACTGCCTCACCACATCCGGGACATCTCTCGTAGGCGCTCCGCTGCTTGTTTGTCGCTGTGACTCCAGTGGAACAGCAGCAGCGAGCCCAGTAGTCGTAGACGTAGGCGCAGCCGACTGGATCGTGTAGGTAGGCTCCGTAGCTCCCTGGCTTTCACCCATTGGCAGACTAGACTCTGGGATCATATTCTTGGACACGGGGGGGATCGCAAAGGCACTCGCATCATAAGCAGGGCTGCCGGGGAATCCACCACTGGTGCCCTGCTCATAGCCGGCCCGGTCGGTACGGGCGGTCGAAGATATAGTGTTCGTGTTGAACGTGCTGGGATCAGGCACCTTCTCACCCGGGTTCAGCTTGATCGGGTTTCCCGCACCACTAGACGCCGGAATTGGGTTCACAGAGAACTTGTCAGCTTCGCTGGCTGGGGTAACCGGAAACGACCCGGGAACATTGGCCCTCTGCTCCAGCGGCACATCCTGGCCGAGAGCTGCGGTCGTCGAACCCGGTGCGGCCGACGAGATAGTGGGATAGTATCCATTCTGTCCATGCTTGCTGCTGGATTCCTTGGGGACTCCGGCTGCCAATGCAGCGGTAGTCGAGCCTGGCGTGACACCGGCCATAGCTGCAGTGCCGTTCAATAAAGGTGTGGTTGAGTCTTTAAGGATTTGGTCGGGATAGAGAACGTTGTTGATATTGCTACTGCCGTCGTCTTCTTCGGGAGCTCTGTTATCGGTGGTCCAGATGCCGTCAACGACGAACTGTGAACCAAAGAAGAAACAATTGTTAGTTTGTGGAACCAATGCAACGATGACGCTGACACGAGAGTCTTATAGTTTTGGGAGGGAAACATGAGAGGGGAAACCACGCCCGTCCGCGACTGGCGGCGACATGACGTCAACGCACGGCTGGAGCGTCATCGCGCGATGGAACTTGATAAGCAGGACAGGCAGGGCAAAAGACGGGCAGAGGAACGGATCCTCACGATGCGGTTCCCCATCAAAGGACGTAATCCTCGGCGGGAAGTACAAACAATGGCAAGCAAATCAGATCAGGGAACGGCTTTGCGCCATAGAGTCATGTGCAGAGTATGCGACTGCTGTCTCACCTTGTAGTGCACCTTCTCATCCGTCACTGGCAGCGGAACTTCCTTCTCAAAGACATCGCCTACGCGATCCAGTTTGACTGTCTTGCCCCAGTCATCAAATGTGCCGGTGACAAACACTTCGTTCGCATTGTACGGCCTGGTCGCAAGCGAGAATTCGCATCAGTCAACGATCAAATCCACCCAAAGTTCTAAGCTCATGACGCCGAAGAAAGCTAGGCTTTGTTCCATTCGTGCTTGTCGCTTGGTACGGAAGGTGTCGGATAGAATAGAATTTCCACAGGAAGGCCGTGGAGCGGATGATCCCCCACAATTGGAGATCTAGACGGTGGGAAAATGAGATATGTCACTTACCATGTAAATGTGTAGCTCCCCATTTTCGCGGCGGGTGGGCTTTGGATCCCCCAAACTCAGACAATGGGATGTTGGTGGGAGCAGGGACCGGTCAGTAGTAGAGACTCTAGTAAGAACGGAGAGGAAACGAAAGAGCTAATCGCTCGGGGCAGACAGGATAAAACAAAATTAAAAAAGAATAGTAGAAATGGCTTATGGAAGAAGAGGCTGGGAACGGCGATAAAGCTTGCTGGGAAGATGGGGAGGGGAGAGATGGAGCGGGGGCTGTTCGGTCGCACACAGACCGTCACCGGTCGGACTGTTTGGCAGGAAGTACTTAGAGACTCAAAAGTAGGTACGCTGTAAGAAGCCGCCACTTGGATGTCCCTGGTGTCAAATTTGATCAAGGCGAAACAGCAAGGAACAACATACACACACACGCAACGAATTTCGCCGTGGCTTATTCTGTGTCGAGGACTCGGTAATGATGAACCCAAGCAGCCTCGCGGAATACACACGGGTTGAGTCACCGTGCCGGGGATTCTAGACACTCCCAGTGGTTGCCAGCTCTCTGCCAGCCCGTGTACAACTCAGCGCAGCGACAGCTGGCATCTTATCGCGCTAGGCCTTTGCTAGTTTCATCAGAACCTTGTTAGGAATCCAAGAAATCCGTTGGTATGGAGGCTCGTGCAGGGCTGCATTCCTGCCCGTAGTCACAGCCATTCGCCTTGCCTTTCGCACAATCTTCCCAGGGGCTTCTCGCAGGCAAGAAATTCTACTGGATGAAACACGTCGATGGTACCTGACGGACCTGATCAAATCACCCACATTGCTTTACATTGATGCGTAGAGACTACACAGAGCATGAGAGCAAGTTAATTCATGTATGCACTGTGAGGGCCTGGAAAACTTTATATGGTCCGTGTAGATCCCAACCCACAGCCGACAGTACTAGTAGACTACTTACACTGCAAAACAGAAAAGTCCAGCCTTCTATCTGACTGTTGGCGAACTTGCATCAGGCACCCGCCCGCCCCCCTCCATCTCCCTTTGTCAAAAATTTCGCGCCAAAGAAAATTAGTCGCCCTGTTTATAGTTATGCTACAGTCCTGAGAATAAGAGCTGAACAAGCGCTGGAGTGGATGATTTCGACATCTTCCATCCTCCACCAACAGCACTCCCGGCGCTAATCCTAATCCAGAGAGCACGGACACTAACTAGTCTGCAAAAGGAATAGTCACAGTCAGTAATCCAAGAGTGCGATAACGGTTATTACGCTAACCTGATTAGGGATGGGAGGGAAGGTCGGTTCGAATGGAGCCAAAAGCAGCAACAAGTTCATGGATCCATGGGAGCTCTGTGTGTCTGATAGCTCTCATTGCTTGCCGGATTGGCAAGAGCAAATGTTACCTTGAACTTCCCAGTGGAGATGATGGCACTTTGACACCTCGAAGTGGCTGACGGAAGCCCTTGCCCTGTCAGAATGGTGGCTCGCCAGCAAACGTCAACGAACGGATAGTCTACCTGGCTATGACCTCAGCGAGCAGATCATCCGAACGGAAAGCAGACAGACAAACGCAAGCACCATTTCTGTTCGCCACCTGCTTCTGGCCTGACAAGCGAAGCAGACCCCATGAGCCAATTATCTCCATCGAGGCCGACCGTTGATGAATTGGGATGGGCAGGCATGATACTTGGTCGGCAGTGTCTCCTTTTTGCGTCTGCTGGCTTGAGCTAATTGCGTTCCCCGCCCCCTTTGTCGTTGGTCGGTTCAAGGGTCTGATTGTCAATCTCAATCACAGCTCCGGTGGCGCAACGCAATCCAGTCTGGCTGGCACTCTTGACTTGCCCTCCTATTCCGAATACCGCAATGTTCTAGAAGCCGCCTGGAAGCCCCTGGGCGGCGGATCGAAGCTTCCACATCTTCCATATCGCGTCCGTTCCCGGTCGACTGGGCTGAAGGATTCGGAGGTCTGGGGCCCATCGTCCACGTCTCCTTTTCGTTTTCACCTTCTGGAACACGATGAGACGGTGCTAGTTCGATCGACTACGCCCGACTATGGATTTCATTTGATAATACCTAGGAACGGAGCCAGACTATTGACCCAAGGCCGTCAGCTATTGAAGTAGTGGACTTGACTAGCGGGGTGTCCGTGACGTCGATCGAGCCGTCTGAGCCATCTTTCCCAGCGATGGAGGATCCCAACACATCCGAAAATTAGTCCGTTGCCATTAATTAAGGAGGTGAGTCTACTAAGAATGGAGGGTGGCCTGAGTGGTGGTGGTGGGTTCGACCTGGGCACCACCGGGCAGTTCTCCGAAGGATGGTGAGAGGATAGAGCCGAGCTCCTGGAATGGTATAGACTGGGAAAGGGGGGGTGAAGAGGATAATCAGAGTGAAAAAGGGAAGGGAAATGAAAAATCATGGATTCCATCTGCAAATAGAAAGTAGAGAATGATATGATCATGAGAGGACTTTTACTTAGACGCGAGTCATATAATCATCCAGTTTGGCTTTTGGCTCCCCGCCTTTTTCATGGTTCTTCTCTCCCCCCTCCCTTTTCTGCAACCCCTCCGGATCAAGTTCCCTGCGTATCACCACCACCCCTTTTCTGGTGCCATTCGATTTCTTTAAAAGCCCCCTCCCATTGAAGTGTCTAGAAGGCTTCCACCCGAAATTAAGTGTTTCTGTCATCTTTCTAGCCGGATCCCAACTCTTTTGTTATCTGCAATTCTGTCTGGGAACAGCCTCCCACGCGACCGAGAAGGTAAGGGAATCCCTCGCAAAGCTACTCTCCATTTAACTTCTGCCGTGTTGCCCCTCCAAAGCTTGCCCGGTGATTTTCCTTTCCCGCTGTTATTGTTTGTGCTTGTTGTTTCACGCTGGACTCATTTTCATTTTTTAATTGTGTATTTTATTGTCCTCTTCCTTCCATCTTTCTTCCCCCTTTGGTCTTCTGCTGTATCTACATTGCTTGGTGTTCTTCGTGAGATCTACTCTGCAAGCTTCAGGTCTGGCCCAGCTATCTGCGGGCAACAGCTCCCTCTCCGCCAGAAGAAAGCTTCAGAGGCTCCGAAGCAGAAAAACGTACCACAACGGACATCCAATAAGGCCTGTTGGACCCGATACCCACACTGTCTAGCGGAGACCCCAATCATCGATGATCTTGCTTCCCTGACTGGATCCCCCATTTCTGTTCCATCCACGGCGACCTTCCAATCTGCTGCTGCTACGACCTTCTGGTCGGTTTCCCTACCCGCCCCTCCCCTCCCTCTCTTTCTCTCTTCTTGCTTGTGCTACCACATCTTCTGCTCCCCCCCACCCCGTCCTTTCCAACCCTGCTACTACTCTTTCGCTGTCTGATGACTACTGCCCCCTCCTACTTTTTCCTCTCCTTCTCTTTCGCACATACATTTTATTTCTTCATCTGCCCGCTCGCCCCAGTCTTGCTTAGCGTCTGACCTCCTTCAGACCATTTTCGTCCTTGCGTGCCGGCCGCTTCAGTCGCCGTCTCCCGACCTTCCAACTTCCCCGCTTCACTGTGGCCGGAGCGGTGTTCTCTCCGGCCCTTCTTTCGCCAGCATGGCTGAGAGTGCATTCCCCAGCGCCCAACAACCCCTCCGGGTGGGCACAAAAGACGACAAAGCCGCTGCTTTTCAGAAGATCTCCGAGGAGGACGAATACGAGGTGACGTCACCAACCGATCCCACTTTTCGATCTGCCAACGCCGCTGCTGCATCCTCGTCGACCGGCAGCCCCTTCTTCGGTGGTAGTTATGGCGAGAATAGTGGACCAATTCGTTTCAACAGGAGTCCGTTCGACAATGGGCCCAGGGAGGAGGACGAGGAGGGTGCCGACGAGTTCCCTCCGGAAGACATCCGCCCCACGGGCGCCGCGAATCAGGGATTCCCTAATAACTACGCGCTGGGCCGCCGGACATCGGTTTCAGCAGAGTCACTGAACCCGACCTCGGCTGGCTCAGATAGCTGGACTCCCCCGTACCATGAGAAAACAGAGGAGCAGCTGTCCCGCCTGAAGACTGCGGTCAGCAGCAACTTCCTCTTTTCGCACCTAGATGACGACCAGTTCAAGAGTGTACTCGATGCTCTGGTTGAAAAGCCTATCCCAGCCAAGGGTATCAAGGTTATTAGCCAGGGTGATGCCGGAGACTACTTTTACATCGTAGAGAATGGCCACTTTGACTTCATGATCCACCCATCGGGCTCCGTGCAACCCGGTCCGGACGGCATGGGCAACAAAGTGGGCTCCGTTGGACCCGGAGGCTCGTTTGGAGAGCTGGCTCTCATGTACAATGCGCCTCGCGCGGCCACCGTCGTGTCGGTGGACCCGAAGAGCACACTCTGGGCCCTGGACCGCATCACTTTCCGACGGATTCTCATGGACTCGGCCTTCCAGCGCCGTCGCATGTACGAGGCATTCCTCGAGGAGGTGCCGCTGCTGTCCAGCCTTAAGCCCTATGAGCGTGCCAAGATTGCCGATGCTCTGGACGCCATCAAGTATCCTGCTGGCTCTACGATCATTGCTGAGGGCGATCCAGGTGATGCCTTTTACCTTCTCGAATCCGGAGAGGCGGATGCCTTCAAGAATGGTGTGGAGGGCCCTGTGAAGTCCTACAAGCGCGGCGACTACTTTGGTGAGTTAGCCTTGTTGGATGACAAGCCACGGGCCGCAAGCATCGTGGCCAAGACAGAGGTGAAGGTGGCGAAATTGGGCCGGGATGGCTTCAAACGGTTACTGGGGCCTGTGGAAGATATTATGCGACGAGCCGAATACGAATCGAAACCTGTGCCCGCTTGAGAGGCGTAATGGGTCATAAATACATGAAATCCTTGGCGAAGAGGGAGGGAGTTTTTGTGTGGGACAATGTGGTGACTGTTTCATCTCTTTCATGTGTCGTTTTATCCGCCTATCTATGCACTTGGTTGGACGGACCAGCCAGGGAAACCTGTTGGTCTCAAGATCTACAACAGATGGCTGAAAAAAAGGATCTCCTACTCATCGGCGAAACATTGGGTCGTGGTTCATTATCGGCATCGCGGGGGGTTGTGTATGTCTCTGGACTGTTCATACACGGGTTATATTCATGGCCGAGTCGCGCAGGAAGCCACAGCCCCAAGGCTGCTCACTTCGGTGGCTGCGATCGGACATGTCAGTGTGTCATCGATAAACCACCTGGGTTATTTCCTGTCTTTTGCCGTTTCTATGTTTATAATAGCTCATTGGCTACGAAGGATACATATATGGTTGACATGTACACAAGTACTTAACCGTGTCGATGGGATGCGTAAGATGATATTTATAATACAGCATAGCACTCAGAACCAGCAGTCTCCTGTATCTGTATCCGTCAATGGTACTACTTAGATCATCGCGCAACCACCAAATCACTCCTCAACACCCACTTCTCCCCCTCCCGCACCTCCTTCCCCTCATGCAGCATACACCGATCTCCATGCCGATGCAGCAGCGCCATCCCCGGCACCGGAGCCACCGACACGGGCTCCGGGTTGCGATTGAAGCGGGTCGCCTCTGGATAAAAGACGGTTTCCCCTCCCTCACAGCTCGTCAAGTAGATGAGAAGTGTCCAAGTGGTGCGGGCCGCACGGGGCGGACGACCGGGCGAGGAGAAAGTAATAGCATTGGAATCGTCATCTACGATAAGAGCAGCTATCAGCATACTGAATTACTTGACTAGGACTGACTACAGAGCATCCTTCTACGACCCAACCCTTTTCCCACCTGTGACCCCAAACATACAATAAGAAGAAGAGGAGAAAAGGAAGGGGAGATAACTCACAATGTTTGTCGAAAAACTGCCCCTTCGAATACCGATATATACGAATATTCCCGTTCAGCCCAATGGGTTCTCCGCCCCAGATATCTTTCACGTCTCGCGTCGTTTCCTCTTCTTTACTCTCCTCCTCCTCATACTCATCTCCTCCCCCCGCATTCAAAACCATCTCCTTTAACGCTGTCCCCGACCAAAGTCCCTCCGCGAACCCCTCATCCTGGATCTGAAACCGATCATTGACTCGTACTGCATCGCCCTTTTTGGGTTTGCCCGGGGTGGTGGTCAGTGGCAGGGAGGCCAGAAATGAAGTGTAGGTTTTGCAGAGCGTCGAGGGGAAGAAGTTCCGGATCAGGTAGATTTGGTCGGGGACGAGAGGGTCGAGGGTGAGAGAGGTGGAGGGGATGAGTGGGCGGAGAGGGGGCCAGTTGGGTTGCTGCTGTTTTTGTTGGAGATGGGATTTGGGGGTGGATGAGGGGGGCTGTTTGGAGGTCTTTTTGGGCATTTCTTTTGTGGGGATATGGGGAGGGTGTGATGTGTATGGTATGAGTGACGGGAGTGTGAGTCGGTGAGGAGATAGACAGATGGATAGTGAGTCAGTAGTAGGAGTAGTAGTAGTAGATCGTGGTTGCGAAGTACTATGCAGGTCGGTCTGGTCGGGTCTGGTCTGGTCTGATCTGTCCGTCGGGATGGGGAGTAAAAAAAAAGTTCCCAGGTAAGTTACTTACTAGTTCGTGGTATAGTATGGGGTCAAGTTCAGGTACGGAAACAGTGAATGAAGCGCCGTGATACGTTCCCGGGTGGTAATAACCATGCTGGGACAGTAATATTGCTGCTTCAACATACAAGTATCCCAAAAATACCGTCACGATTTGGCAGAAAATTTATGAAAAACCGACCGGGGCGTGACGGGCCCAGCCAGTCACAGGGCGAGTAGGACGGGGGCCTCAGCCTCACCGCCCTCGACTTCTGCTCCTCCTCCTCCTCCTTCCCAGCCCGTCGTCCTTCTCCAATCCCCCTCCGCCCTCAAGACCTGCCCGCCGGTCATGTCGTCGTCGCAGACCATGACAGCGTCTGCGGTGGGCCATCGTCCGCCAGATGCTGCTCCAAATATGTCGTCCGTGTACGACTACGCCCGCTCACAGCAGCAACACGACGACCAACCGCACCCCTCCCCGCCCAGCGACTCCGCAATCCGCCCTCTGCACGATTCTGCCCCCGACTCTCCTCCCAATGGCCTGTCGACCCTGTCCTCAACCACCCCTGTGGTCAAATCTGAACCCGGCGACCACGATTCCGCCCCCTCCGCGTCCGCTCCTCCAGAATCACAGTCTGATATCCGTCGTCAATCGGCCGCCAGCGCGCTGCTGGCTCAACTCCTCGGGAACCAGGTCTCGGCCGATGGGTTGGAGTCTGAGGATCATCCAATGCCGCCAGCACAGGACGGGGCCGAGCCGCCCCAAAATAACGACCAGGATGTAAAGAGTCAATGGCAGTTTGAATCGACCTCCGAACCCCCGGCTGCCCCTGCGGATTCGACCAATGGAGGCGCGGATCAATTTCCGCCGGAATCGACTGAATCGCTGGCACCTCACCAACAGGACGGGAAAATCTCCGAACAACCACCCGATATACCTTTTTCGAACCCCGATCATGGCGATAGTATGTCGATAAAGGCATCAGAGGCTGTAGAAGGCTTGACGGATCCATTACTGTTCTCCAAATCGAGTCTAGACCATCCCGATCTTTTTTCCTCCTTCGATATCACGGCCGCTCCGAAGACACCATTCGAAGCCCTGCAGCAGAATGAGATGCTTACCGCCGCCTACCTCTCGCAAAGCGCTGATCTTTCCGCCCTTGGCTATTCTGGCGGGCATTTGTCTCACGATATCGCTGGCTCGGTCGCGGGATCGGAGCCCCGAATCCAGGCATTTGCGAAGCTGGAATTCGATGACGGCCATTTTTACTGCAATACATACTCCTTCATTCTTGGACGTGATGTACGAGCGGCCCGGGCTGCGCATCAGCGCGAAATTCAGGTCCGTCAGGCGATGAGGACTTCCCGGGCTAAGAGTTCGAGTGGTGGCAACACGTCGCATACTCCCAACCGCGTGAAACATGAGGGCAGTGGCATCCTGGGAAGTGTGGTCAGCGACCGCGGTGGCATTATGGGGTTTGATCCCGATATTCCGCCTCATCTACCACATCATCTCAGTCGTCGCTCGTCCGTGTCTTCCCACGCTGAATCAGCTCCGCTGCATGCGACTCCAGCCCAGTTGCAATCGACTACCGATTACAATGCGCTTGCAATGCAGTCTTTGAACGAAGAGAACGGCGATGCGAAGCCAGTTGATGCTTTGGCGCTGCTTCCTTCGCCGGATGCGTGTCCAACCATCCCAATTCATCCCCCGGCGACGGTCGACGGTAGCGCTGCTGGGCATCGAGGGATTTCACGGAAACATGTCAAGATTGCATACAACTTTGACCGAAACCTTTTCGAGATGGAGGTTATGGGAAGAAATGGCGCGTTCATCGGCGCGGATTGGCTATCCCCAGGACAAGTAAGACCTTTACATAGTGGTGATTATATCCAAATTGGAGGCGTCCGCATCCGCTTCCTGCTTCCCGACGTGCCAATTGGCGAAACTGGAGCGGATAGAGAGGAAGAACCATTTACAGCCGAGGATGAGAAGGCTCAGGCTTCAACTACCGCCGAGAACGAAACGCCAGCTCCGAAGCGCGCATCCGATGGCTCGGAGACCAAGGAGACGCCGAAGACCACGAAGATCATCCTTAAGACCCGGGCTGAACCTGATCCGTCGCGACCAGTGCAGTCCGTTGAAGGTTCTGGAGATCCCAATCAGCAGCCTGTCCGGCGTCGTGGCCCTGGACGACCGCCTAAGGACGGCATCATGTCCAAACGCGAGCGAGCCGAACTGGCAAGAGAACAGAAGTTGGCGGCAAAGCGCGAGGCCAATGGAGGCGTCACTCCTCCGCCCATGAATCGTCCCAAGGCTGGAAAGGCACCAGCACCAACCAGTGGTGCTACGGCGGCACCCAAAGAATCAGTTGGTGCGGAGTCGCCTGGCTCTAAGCCGGAGAAGCGCAAGTACACGAAGAGGAAGAAGCCTGATGGTACGCCCATGGACTTTCCGCTACCCTCAACCGAGGGCGGCCAGTTTCCCATGGAACATCGTCCGGAGGAGTTCATCAAGGCACCTCCAGTCAAGAAGCGCAAGCCCTCGCGCTCACCGTCGCCCAACTACCCTCCCGAATCCGCCTACACGCCGGAGGATTTGGCCAAACCACCATACAATTATGCAGTGCTTATCTTTGATGCCCTCACTGAGGCTGGTACTCCGATGACGCTCAAGCAGATCTACCGCGCACTGAAGCTGAAATACCCATATTTCAGATTCAAGTGCGAAACCGAGGGCTGGACGTCTAGTGTGCGACACAATCTCAATGGCAACAGCCATCTCTTCATGCATGCTGAGCGTGATGGTAAAGGATGGTCGTGGCAGCTCCGCCCAGGGGCATCAGTGGAGAAGGAAAAGAAGCGACGCCCGTCGCCTCCTCCGCCAGCGTCGCAGCCCCCGTCTGCTCCGTCAGCTACTCCCCAGTATATGCCTCAGCTGAACCCGTCCTATGGCAATCAGCATGGACAACCTGGGATGGCCAATCCGCACTTCCAATTTCCCTCTATGCCTCCCAACCCTTACGCACCTCCTCCTCCCCCAGCTCCTGCCCCCAATCCTACTCCTGCACCTCACCATTCCAGTCCCTATCCGCCTCCTGCTCCAGCTGCCGCCTCTACACCCTTCCCGATACCGAGTCCGCTTCGCAACAACCTTCCACCTGCTTTCGCGCAGACTACGCCCTCCACTTATACCTCGCCCTATGCCTCGGATCCGCCGCCGCAGCTGGTTCAGCTGCAGCAGTCGCAACAGACACAGCCAATGCTACCCCAACCACAGCACCAGTCACCTTATCCTCCGCCTAACCCACCGTCTATGCCGCCGATGAATGCACCACCGCATCAAGGCCATCATCCTCCACCGCCGCCTCCAGGTCCACCTATGCAGCACCCTCCGCCCAACATGGGCATGGGCCACGACCCTGGCCCGGGCCCAATGGACAACTCGGAGGCGTCGTCGTTCAATGAGCGGGCCAGCAAGGCCATTGACGACTTTGAGGCGGTTTTGATGGAAGACTACGAGGATAAGAACTACATCCGGGAGGTACTTAAGAGTGCCCGAGCTCGCGTTCTCGGCAATGCCACGGATAGTTCGTTCCCCGGCGGCGAACCGAAGGACGAAGCTGTCATCCTGGATGCGCTTCGCAATCTGATCGGTAGCTTAAAGGACGAATAGTCTGCCTAGCAAGAGGCGACTATTTGCCAGCGGGAACAAGGGTCGAAACTGGGATGACGAATTTACGACTTGGGATTTGCTTTTATGCTTACGAACATACATCTACACATGGAGACCGGGCCGGTGTTAGGAGATCTGTGATCTGGGATAAAAAACATGCGCGCGATCACATAACTGGTCTTTATCTTTCATGATATTGAAACGGAGTCCGATTGTTATCATCCATTTCTGTTTCTGGGGCTTATTTTGACTGACTCACTACTACATTTCCATTGCTATTTGCTTCTCTCTCTATCTCTCTCTCTCTCTCTCTCCATCTGCGGGTTGTGTTTTTGTCTTATTCACCCGCCACTGCAGTGCTTCTCGATGATATCCCCTCCGTTCTGGACCGAGGGTCCATTTTCCAAAGTGTTTTTTCTTCCTTTCCTGTTTTGTCTCTTCCACGTCCGCGACATCCCGGACTTGCATGGATTTAAGCGCCGGGCAAGTTTTTTTTCTTCTCCTTGCATTGACTTGCTTCCACCCCCTCATCTTCTGATGGGGGGTATTCCTTCTCCGAGTATCGGAAGGAACCCATTTTCTGTCCCCTTCCGTTCTTAAATCACAAACAAAAAAGCAGCTGGAGTTATTTGCATAGACCACCAAAAAAATTTTACATTACGAATGGGGATGTCGCATACGACGGGTTTGATTGATTGACTATACTCATTACGTAGGTCTACTTATAAGCAGTAGTAGTAGTTAGTAGTTATACCATGAATGATGGGAAATAATAACTCCCGTAGTCCGGAGGGAAGTAAGTGGAGTTGACCTGCCCTGACTCGAGGTGTGATATTTTACCCCTCCCCCACTATCGATCTATCTACATCCGACTCTTTCCTATTCTTTCCTTCTGTTACTTCCGAACAGAAATAGCAATAGCGGGGTTCGTTGTTTGTTGATACCTGCAGACTTCATTCACTACTAGCTAATTACTAACTACTAGCTAATCCAAATATTATTATTGAGTTAACCTATCTACAAATTATCTGTGCACGTACTCTCTCACACTCACACACACACCTATCGGAACGAAAATAAAGGAGAAGATGGGGAAAGGGAAAGATGATTGACCCGATGACCGGATTCACCCGTGATACACTGCAGATATATTTTACATGACTGTGATATGGAGTGAGGAGGAGAAGGAAGGATGCTGTTGAGTCGAGTCGAGTCGAGTCACCGGGCCGGTCGTGTGCATATCATTCATTCCCCTCCATTCATCCGTATGGCCCGTGGAGCGTCCAGTCATCTTTTTTTTCTTCTATGTGTGTGTGTGCCTGGTACTATCGCCACTACGGGCTATCTTTGGGATGTTATTTGATTATGCGGGGTGTCATGTATGTAGGATGTCATGTATGTATGTATATGTAAACTGTCAGTTGCTGGATTGGGGGGGGGGGGGGGGGGGGGGCTATCTTTGGGATGTTATTTGATTATGCGGGGTGTCATGTATGTAGGATGTCATGTATGTATGTATATGTAAACTGTCAGTTGCTGGATTGGGGGGGGGGGAGGGGGGGGGGGGGGGGGGGGGGAAATCGAGCTGCTGGGGGGGGGGGAAAGGAAAACGGGGGAATCGGCAATGGGGGGTGGGGGGGGGGGGGGGGGGGATGACTATTATGATCTATCTGAGTGTCTCTCTATTTGATGGGTGGTTATTGGGTAGATAGGTAGGTAGTAATAGGTGTTCATTGGGCAAAATGAATGAGTAGTGGGTTGGTGACTGACTGACTGACTGGATATCAGTGATGGAATGCATGATGTTCAATGCCGGCTATCAATCATCATTCCATCATTGTGTACACTTGCGTCTTTGGTTGGCATGGGAAGGGGGAGGGGGCAAAGACTACTGATACTCTTAGTAGATCGGGCAGCGATGATGGAGGTTGGTAGGTTCGATGGATGCAAGTGGTACTTGGGAATTATCTAGTACTCTGTATGGAGGAGTTGGGGGTGTATACCCCACTTTGAGTTACTGGATCTTGCTTGGTGCAGGTGTAGTCTGGGTGGCTGGGATGTGGGAAATATATTCTTGGTACCTGACTTGGATGACTGGAGTTGTTTGACATGGTTTGGCTCGGTTGGTATAAGTATTATTATATGATTATAACTCGTATTCATTGGTTGTCTCGTTGTAAGTGAGACATTACCGGCGTGATCTTATTCATCATCCGGTGGTTGGGGGATTGTGAAACATGATAGTAGTCATGATTCGGGTCATTCATCCTGAGGTCCGGATGGGAGGGGGATATGGATGTAGGTACCGCGCTTGGGGATCGGGATGATTGGGTATCGAATTTGATAAGATGAACGGACTGCGAATGGGGTTCAACTGTTGCGGTGGATGTTGCTGTGGGAGACGCATATACAGGCGTGTTGTATATCCGTGCCTGCGGGGTTAGGAGGAAAGGAGAGCAAGACCATCGTGAGGGATATACCGGCTACTGCCAGTCCCCATCTGCAGAGTAGTCCTCCATAGTAGGAAACTCACTACTGTGTATACCTCCATTCTGAGGTACAAAGTAATCAACGAACAGGCTCCAAAATACTCCGGCCCGATCATATGCTGATCGTATTGCCCATCCTCCTGGCGGTCGGTGAGTCACCGTCTCTCAGCCCAGAAGGAATCGCAAAACAGCCTCAACTGGAAGTTGCACCTGATCCGATAAACCAGTAAGAATCGCAATCACTGTAAGGTGCCTCTTCTCAGGCACCGACCTTACGTAGACAAGCGCGTTGTTCGAGCAACCGCGGAATGTAGGCATGGAATGTGGTTTACTCAGCCACCTGACGATTAGGATGATGATGATGATGATAATGACGATGTGAGGAAGTGAGAAGAGGGTGGATGTGATGATGTAGGTGCAATGTCCCTGTCCCTGTCCCTGTCCTGTCCTGTGTTCTGCATGTGTGGTGACTTACAGTGTACAGATAGATAGTAATGGTGGGAATCTTTCCTCTCTCCCTCTCCCTCTCACACCCTGTCTGCCTGTTGTGTCATTGCGCTTATAGTTCAAAATGAGGCTGTCCGCCTCCCGGATTGGTCTCTTGAGGGTTGGTGGGTGGCATGGGACTCCGCCTTGACACAAAAGTCCTATAAGTCTGGCCCTCTTGAGAGTGAGTGAGTGAGTGAGTGAGTGAGTGGCTGACTGACTGACGGCATTGCCACTGTCGCTCCTGCTGCAGCCTTGGGTGCTTGGTGTGCTTCTCTAGTCGCATCGATTTACATGGTATCAGCAAGTAACTGGCGGGTAATCTATGTCCAGAACTTCATGACTGATGATGCCTACTATCTAGTAGTACTCTAGTTGCTTCCTTTCCTTGTTCCTTCCCAGGCCATTCATTCATCTTTCGGAAGGGTTCCATCCTCACTGGCTATAAATAATCTTCCATACTAAGTACTACTTACTATGATTATATCACTCGCCTCCTGCAATAAGCCAAGCCACAGACCGACTAGTCCCATGTACCACTCAGACACGTTTTTCTCCCCTTACCCTTTTTTTATTTTATTTTGCCGCCTCTTGATTTTTTTCTAAATTAGCACGGGGGCGCACGTCCCACCCAATTGTTGAAGCAGTTCGAGGACCTCCCACTAGCGCTGTCCACCCACAGTAAAAGTTAAGAGTACCATTACGGAGAAGATACCGCCTGTCACTTCCCTACTTGTGCTCTTAATTTTCCTCGACTTGTAACAACTTGAACTTGATCATCAAGCCAGTCAGTCAGTCATGTCCACTTTCAACCTTTCTGTGTGACGCCTTGGACTTCCTGCAGTTGCGTTTGCCTCCCTTCCCCCCATTCCATTCCCTCTTGCCTGCTGAACGATGGACAATCGCAGCTTCGCACTGCCTCCTGTTCCACTCCCCTATTCGCCCACTGGCTGCAGCCAATGAAGGGAATGACGATTGCCTGCCGGGGATTGATTGGGTGAATTCGTCACTTTTGCGCCTGCATCACTTTAATGAATGGTATTATTGGTAACTCGGTAATATAGTACTAGATACGTTGTAAACTATCAAATCTACCGAGTAGGATCTGGAATAGATAACCAGGGAGTTTAAGTTCGTTCACTAAGTAGTACGAAGAGTAGTCATGATTAGAATTAATAATCTTTCCCAAGTCAAGTCAAGACAAGACAAGACTACTATTCAGTAGTGACCGGTGGATTCGAGGAGTTTTCCTTTCTCCCCTCCCCCCTTCTTAGCCGCTAATCTAACGGTCACCACGAACTGCTCGCTGACCCCCTTTAGGGAGTAAAATCTGCCGGTAGGTAGACAAGGCACTACGTAAGTACCAGTCCTAAACAGTCTGACCGGCCGGAGCCCTCCCGCCCCAGGGGTCTCTGGTCTGGTCCCGTCCGGCTGGCTGGCCTGCCTCTCTCTCTCTCTTACTCTCCCTGTCTCTCTCTCTGTCTGTCTGTCTCTGCCGACGACGCAGGCCGTGCAGCCGATTATTGGATGGAGTTGCAGTCAAAGAGCCTTCCTTCTTGACTGACTTACTTTGACTCCCGGCCGTCCTGTCCGGTGCTGGATTTGAAGCATTTCCGCCCATGCCATCTGACACTTAATTTACAACCACCCAGTAACATGACCTCTTGCTCGTATTGCACCTGATGACTGACTGACTGATTGAGAATAAATGGTTGGTGAATCCTGGGACTTTTTTACTTGATGCCTCAGTCAAACAACAATCCATCAATTCTATTAAAAATAAAATAAACGATGGATTCATCGTTGGCCGTGCAAAGTGCTATATTAAGATTGCTTGTTGAGGGTGAGTAAGCACACCTCAACCATGGACCCGGGCTTCTCTTTCCGTTCTGGCCGCGGGTCTTTCATGGGCGAGAGAAAAGTTGCTGAGAAAGCTGGGTCTGAGATTGAAGTAACCTGGCCGTTCGGCAGCGTTACGGTGGAGGCGGTTTGGTCAGTCGGTCAGTTGTTACTGGTTAGCTGGTTGGTTCCCGCTTTTTTTTTTTTTTTTCTTCTTTCCCTCTGACCTCTTCTTTTTCTTTTTTTTCTTCTTTTCCTTTTTGATTTTTCTTTTTTACAATTTCCGTTTTTTCACTTCTTTTCTCCCTCCCTCTGCCCTTCTTCCTTCCTTCATCCTTCCCTTCCCATTCTAATTTAATTAAATTTCTTTTTTTCATTTTTATTTTTCATTTTTATTTTATTAATTTTAGTTTCCCTCTTTCATCCTAAACATGCCTTAGTCAACTCCTCCGCCCTCTCCCAAGGACGGCCGGTCCAGCATCGTCACTGGGTACTCCCCTCATCCTCTAGCTGGGCTCTAAAGAAAAATAGTAGGGAAAACTCTGAAAACTCTAAACAATTCTCCAACCCCATGAGGTGTACTCCGTGGGAAGCCGTAGTTAACTCTCTACTAGTAACATAGTACTAGTAGTTACTTGGGACTGCTTCACTCGGGTGTTGCGGCTGGGATTCTGTTTGGTCTGACAGTCACCTTGATCGTTCTGGTAACTTCCGCCTTCCCTTTGATCGTGGTGGTTGCGATTCAAATCGGTACCTGGTCTGCGTCATAAGAAATTAAAAAAAGGGAATCCTTTTGCCTCAATCCCTCATAGGCAGATGCCATTGATCTTTAATAATAATGTTAATATACATGATGTAAAAAATGGGTTATTTTATTCACTCGGGGAAGTAAGAATAAAAAAAAAAAAAATTTCTTTGAGGGAAATTTAATTGCTGTTAAACCTGATACATTTCCCTTACACTGACCTGGCCATGGGTCCATTCCGATGGTCTCTTTCCCCTAACGGAGGACTTGCCGGGAGGATCATGGACAGGAGAAAAAAATAATAATGATAATAAAAACAAAATAAGGACGGGTAGGGGTAAATAGGTTACTTTACAATGTAGTTATCTTCATTTGTTCAAAGTTACAGTATAACAATGAAAAAAAGAACAGAGTAAAAGGAAAAGGGAATATCCCACTCATTGCTCGGATAGGTAGAACAGGGCACGACATGGTGAACAGGCAGAGAAGGCTACATAATCAATGGCAAGGAACCCAGTGGATGTGTGAATGGACCACCGACTCGAATACTCGACAGACCAAACCTAGCCAGAGACAGAAACAGAAACAGAGCAGAGGGTGTATTGGTGTTACTCGTTAGTCAGAAGAGCAAGAAGAAGTGAGCCGGGGATCGTCACCTCCTCGACCCTCACTAGACTAGACTCTCTCTGACACCTCGGACCACTAAGCAGCCGCTCTCCCCTTCGCTTTTTCTCGTCGGGTCTCCTGCTTTGGCCTGTGGCTCTCGCCTTGCCTTTCCTCTCGTTCTCCGTCTCTCTTCTCCATCTTCCCACTCCCACTCCCACTCCCCCCTCTCCCTCTTCCCCTTCTCTAACCTAACCTAACCTACTTCTCCAATCCTCTTCCCCCCTCCTCTTCTCTCTGCACCTTCTCACCATCCTCGCTTTTTGCTCTTCCAACTTTACCTTCCTCAATCCCCCTTCCCTTTGCTCTCCATCTCTCCTCCCTTATACCCCAACGAGCTTTTCACTAAGTGTCGTTGTCGCTGTGGACCGGGGCTAAATCCCACCAAACGCGAGAACTTGTTTTGCTCCCAATTTTTTTTTTCTCATCCTTGACCCTACACAAAAGTATTAAAAAAAGAAAGAAAGGAGAAAAAAAGAAGTTCAACGTCTCTCGCCTGTTGCCTCCATCCACTGCATCATCCTTCGCTGCTTGCTATATTCATTGTTGAGCGTCCCCACGCGTCTCCGGTGATTACCGTCAAACTCCGTCCCTTTTCGCCTCCGTCCTCGACAGCCTCGTGTTCGATCAATTGTCCGCCTTACAACACCGGAAGATAAACAGAAAAGGATCACCAGACTCGTGCCGCTACAGGACCGCTCCTCCCAGCAAGGAAAAACTTTCGAAGAGACATCTTAGTCGCGACCGCTCCGTCCGCTCCTTTCGACATCCGTGCCGTGGAATTGTTCCTCCATGTTATTCAACTAAGAAACATTCACTACGAAACTATCTAGAGCCGCGGCTCATTGAGCATTTGCTCTACCCCCCAGGATCAGGGCGTGGCGAACGTGTAGACGGTTCGTATCTTGTGTTTATTTGGTGTTTCGCTCAATCTGCTCTTTGGGATTACCCTCATCCCATTGAAACCCAATTTGCTGACTCGGGATCTTGTCCGTTGTTATAGCCGCAGACCGTCTACCTTCCCGTCCTGAACTGGTTTTCTTGCTTTTTCTTTAATTTTCGTTATGCCGTCTTTCTTCGCTCCCGGCCTCCAGGGCCTTCCTCCTACTCCTCCCCATATCTTGAGCGGTGGCAGGATGGAGCACGATCAACCCTTCTACCTCCTCGGTCCCTCGGCCGCATTCCCGCCTCGCTACCCCCAGAACGGCTGTGATTTCATCGAGCAGTACTCCCAGTCGGCCTGCTACTCCAAGCCCATGAATTCGCAGTCCGCTCTGGGTGTCCGCAATGGCAGGGATATGGTCGCCGCCCACTCCGCGCTCAACCAGCCCATGTTCGGTCCCCTGGGTACCGCCAATGTCTTGCCTCCCATCCGCAACAACGTTCAGTTGCCCCCGATGGAGAGTGCCATCCCGCCCCAGTACCGACGACAAGAGATGATGGTGCAGCCCGAACCCCAGCGCAAGGAGGAAAAGGCCACTGGAGGTGTCGCCGCCCATTTGGATTATGAGATGGACCAGATGTCCGACTTTGTGGCTGAGATGGCCCAGGGAATGTATGCTTTGTACATCACCAAGATCAACCTAGCAGATATTGACTTAGCGCGAAGCGTCTACCCAGGATCGTCGGTCCCGCCTCAGTTCCGGAAATACGTTTACCAGATCTTGTCATCCACTCGTCTCCCGAGCTCCACCATCCTTCTGGGACTCTACTACCTAGCCAGCAGGATGCGCATGCTTTCTTCCACCAAGGTGTTCCACACCGGCAGTGGCCAGGTTTACCGCATGCTCACCGTGGCCCTCCTTCTGGGAAGCAAGTTCTTGGACGACAACACCTTCCAGAACAAGTCGTGGGCCGAAGTCAGCAACATCCCTGTGAGCGAGCTGAACTCGATGGAGCTCGAATGGCTCTTTGCCTTTGAGTGGAAGATTCACGACCGGATCTACGATCAACAAGATGGCTTTGCGTCATGGTTGTCCCACTGGGAAACCTGGCGTACCAAGACCGTTGCCCGGGCGCAAGAATCCCGCCATGCATTGGCTCCCATCGACACGAATGTCTCTCGCAGCCACCGCGTGTCGAAGCCTTTGCTCTCGCCCGAAGGACCGATCCCGCCCCAGTACCAGCGCAGTACCAGCTATGAAACCTCGTGGCTCAACCCTGCCGCGTCGGAGTATTCGCCGCCCTCTGCACCTCACACGGGACCGAACACTCCGGACTACTACGCAGCTGGGCCGTGGTACACGCAGCCTCCCCCGCCGTACTCGCGTACCTGGGTTCCTCCGCCCCAGCAGTACATTCCACCGGCCCCTCGCTCCCAGCCTCCGTCCTACCACCACACCCCCGCATATGCGCTACCTTTCGCGCAGAGCGTCTGGACGGGCCACGGGTCATCCTGTGGTTGCCTGTATTGTGCCAAGCATATGGAGCACTACATGTGTGCGAATCCGTTTGGCTCGATGCAACCGATCGTGGCTGGCTAGTCAGGGGCTGCGGCCATCTAACCATCTCTCTGCCTGAGTCTACTGGAGAAACGTGTTTCGTTCGATACTGTTCTTCACTTCGTTCTAGACCTGTCCAGGTTGTCCTTGTTTGTCTCTTTTCGTTACTGATGATACCGTGTTTCCTTCGTGTTCTGCATGACTACCCGTTTTCTTTGGTCAGTTTCGGTTACGTCTGTGTTTCGCTGAAAAGTACCATCGGTCGCCTTTTTCCTCCGATTATTCTTGCCTTCCATGCTTTCTGAAAAGCAAAAATTCCCAAAAAAAGTGTCCGACCGGTTGCGCATTTCTGCACGATGTGACACTATCTTCCTTGATTCTTTTCTTTGCCTTTCTCTTTCCTATCTCGATACGATCTGTTTCTTACGAAACACTCCTCTCATCGTGTCGAAAAGTTACCCTCAAGAGATTCCTTGCGCTGAAGCTCTGGAGTCAGATGTCACGACAATTACGATTGTTTCTCTCTGCGTTTTCGCCTGTGCTTCGCCGTTGCCTTCTCCAACATCCCTCTTTGACCTGTTCGATCTTTCCTCATTTTCTCCGGATTTGGGCATTTCATCTGGCGACTGTTACTCATAGATTGTGTTGTGTTCCTTGACGTTTGTCAAGTTGGTACATTTGGTTTTCTTCTCACGCACACTCCACTTGAGTCCCGTGGCGTTAATACCTTGTTTTTTTTTTTTGTTCGGCTGCCTTTAATCTGTTTCTTTCTTTTTTTCTTTTTTTTCATACTCATCTGTTCCGGTCGACAGATCCTCTTTTACTCTTCCTTCGTGATGCGACCAGAGTACATTACTGCAGCTTCGTGTGTGGATGTGCGCTCTCGGTTGTAACATTACCTTTATTTGTTCGTTTTACCTTCGATGACCTTTTCATCTTGCATGTTTGTTTATTCCGCCCGACCCTCAAACCATTGGTGAGGCATTTGAAAAGTGATACTCCCCTTATGCCCCTTGTTTTACATTTACTCTTTTGTCTTGTCTTATTCCCCTCCCGGTGATATAACACCCTCTTGTGTGGCTTCCTTATTCTTTCTCACTGCTCATTCCCTGAATGTAAGTTAGATTCTTTCACTACTTTTCCATAACCATTCACAAGAAATATGGGACAAAGACATTTCGTGCTTCCCTAAAAAAAACAGGGATCCCATTTGATATATACTGCTCTCCATTCCATCTCAAGTAACTGTGTATATGTAAAAACTGTCTTGAATTCTCTTTTTTTTTTTTTTCATCTTTGATCCACGTGAAGGAAGTTGTATTTGCATTGATCCTTGAGGTAATTAGTCACCATCACTGACCATTTTGAACTTCTTTAAGGAACGGAAACAAGAGCCTGTCGATGATTTTCTTTCACAACGAAGCACACAAAACAAAAACATACAATGATACCCATATGAAATAATAAAAAAAGTATTCACGTTTAGTCTTCATTCCTTGTAGGTAGTAGTAGTAGTAAAAGTTAAACTAAGAAGTACAGATCTGAACAGAATCTTGTGAATCTAATGCGAGGAAAATAAGTAAAATGGAATAAGGAGGGGCTCCGGAATAGATTGTAGATATCGTGGTAAATAAATTTATTTCATTGCCTGGGGTATCTAGTGATGTGCGGTTTATTTGATTCATTTGCATTGATGATGATGAATGGAAGGGTGCATATCTGACGTGTGATGTATGTACATCATGAGGGAGTGAACCCGAGGCGCTGATGTAGAGGAAAATCGATGACCGAGATCATTATTACATGAATAAGATTGGGGTTAGAAGGTGATATGTACGTTGTAGGAGTAAGAGTGGTTCTTTGTACGGGGATGATGTGAGTATGTGAGGTTGATTAATTGTCTTTTATGCTTCGTATATGGGTATAAAGTATGAGGTTGCCGTAGTCCTGTGCTAGTATACACTCCCCCTGATGCTTTGGTCGTGTTTCCTTTCAGCTTCGAAAGAGGCGTCTTCTTCGTTGTAGTCGTCCTCTTCGTCGTCGCCGTGATGATGATAGTGTTCATGATCATCGTATTGATCGTCTTCACGGTTGTGTTCGTCCGTTGGCTGGTTCTCGGCCTTTGAACTCGGAAGATCTGTGGGGAGAGGCTCATCGTCTGATCTGTCTTGGCCTGCTCGATCCTGGTTGAGGGCGTTGGCGACTTGCTTGCTAAGGGTTTGGTGTGCCAGGCCCGGAGGGTTCCGGGCATGATGGCTGTGGGATCGGGTACGTCGTGGTCGCGCAGCCTGCTTGGAACTGCTTTCGTCATCGCCGTCGTTATCTAGGTCTTGAGATGGTCTAATCTGATGGGTAGAGGAAGTCGGTTTGGGGCGAGAGTGAGTTTGTTTATGACTGTGGGTATAAGCGTGCATGTTGGGGCGGAGCTTCTCGTCGCGCTCGTCCTCCGACGGGGCTAGGCTATTTGCGCCGCTCATGGAACCGCCGCCGTCACGGCCAACGAGGTGGATGTAAGCATAGTTGCAGTTTGGGGGATGGAGGAGGTGGTCCTCGCTGTCACGGTGAAGGTGGGCGAGGCCAGGGCGGCGGGGTATCGGGTTTGGGTTCGGAATGGGTTGGCCCAGGTGACTGATAGTGCTGGTGGAAGCGTTGGGTGTTGGGAAAGTTGCTTGAGAGGTGGACGTGGTTTCTAGCTGAACACCTTCGAACTCGTACTGCTGAGCCGGGGAAGGCAAGGTCCTTTCAAGAGGCCTTGCGTCGATGGAACGATCTCCCAAAGCTGGCTCCGGGGCTCTGAGCATGTGCTGGTCAACCGGAGTGCTTGTCCCCGTTACAGCCGGAACTGGTCTTAAGTGGCCGTTTTGGTTTCCGTGAGATCTGTGGTTGTGAGTGGCGCTGTGTGTTGTTGTCTCCTTCGACTGAGGATCATGCTGATGCTTTGGATGATCTGTGTTGTGTCCACGGGGTACACGTAGAGAGCTTCGTCTTCGGACACCGTGATTACATCCATCAGGACAGCCACCCCATTTGCGACGGATAGGGACGGACGTCTCTGCTGGTGCTGGCTGCACCGGATCCAACCCCTTGGCTGCCCGCTCACGCTGCCGCTCTTCTTCTTTCTCCCTCCGCAGATCAGACCATGTACGTAGTTGGTTCTGGAGAACGTATTTCCCGTTGTCTGGGTTGAGTTTCAAGATGACGAACTCGCAGTGGTTGATGTTGCGGAGATCTTCGAAGTATTCCACACTCCAATGATACCACTTCATGAGGAAAACACGCGTCATCAAGCCATGCGTGACGAGCACGCAGACACTGGCGAAGTCGTCCTCTCCGAACAAACGCCACAGCGACTCGTTGAACCCACTGACGCGGTCGTAGGCGTCGGCAGCAGATTCACCGTTGGGGATTCGGTAGAAGAAGTGACCATAGTCTGCCCTTTCGAGCCACATACGCTCCATCTCGGCTGAACATGGCTGGAAGTTCCCAAAATCTTGCTCCCGCAGCCGTGGTTCTTCGTAGACCTTGATGGTGTGTCTTGGGAAAGGGGATGGGGCCGGTGAATCTGAGGACAGGGACTGCAGAATACCCTCTGTGGTCTCTCGGGTGCGACGGTATGGGGAGGTGAAGAAATGAATGGTATCATCTGGTCGGAGAAGTGTACGCAGACAGGAGCCAGCTTCCTGCGCCTGACGGTGTCCCTCGGGGGTGAGTTTCACTCGGTGATCGGGGATAGTCTGATGGATTTCTCGGTTCTTGTTTCCTTCTGATTGGGCATGGCGGATCAAGATGATCATCTGACAGAGTGAGACATTGCACCGAAGACTGTAATATTTTCAGGAAGAGGAGTAACTAACCCGCGGCTTGCCCATGATTACTTATTAGATACCTACTGTTGCATGCAGAAGTAGTTGGGTGGAAGTGGGGTTGAGGGGAAAAAGCAAGCGCTACGATGCTAGATCAGTAAGACAGGCCCACCGCGATCACGACCTGAAGTATGTATGTAGACTAGCGAACAGGTCACTGAAGGACAAAACACACAGGTCAGCAGGATGTAGAAACGGGACAGAAAAAGCGACCGCGAAGAGAAGAAGAAGAGAAAGAAGGATGAGGAGAGTGACTGACTTGGGACTTGAAAGGAGGAGAGAGAAGAGGAGAGATGGATTGCGGAGAGGGGAGAATTGCCAAATCCAGCACTGCTATTGGCCCCAGGCACCTAGAAATATCCTGATCGGGTTAGCGCAGCGCATGATGTCAGTCGGCGTTGGACGGGTTTATTACCGTTTTGTATTGAGTATTACCATCATGATTACCGGCCTGTAATCAAAAGGGTACATCCTTCCATAGCATCTCTCCCTCAATCAGTTATGAATAATTCAAGAATTTCCGTTCCTTTGGAACCATGATTAGCCTGTATTTGACTAAAGAGATTTATATAGTTCTTTCAAAGATGTACCCTATTCATTTGCCCCAGCAATACAGCATTTAGCAGCTAGCTTCTCAGATGGGAAGAGAGGAATGACCCTTCGCCAGTTGTCGCCGAGGCCGCCGTACGGAGAAGCAGTAGTAGTAGTAGTAGTTCGGCACTACTAAATCTGGCCTTGTTTCGCCCTCCTGCTCATCATCGGCCGCTTCCACGCTTCCATTACCCTCCATTGTCGACCATTTCGGCTCTCAGCAACGAAGAAGCCGACCCTCACGATGGCCGATTATCTTTACGATCTTCTAGCCCCTCATCTGGCCTCGACAAAGGCCGCCGCCGCCCTCTGTGATCCCGACCGCGATACCACCACTGCTCAATACCTCAACCGTCTCCCTACGCTCTCCCTCCAAGCATTACAGTCCACGGAACCTCAATCCCTAACTCAGTCCTCTCATTCCACCCTTCTGTCGCTGCAAGCTCTGTCGAATCGCTCCCACAAGGCCTTTGTCACGTCCGCCGATGGCCTGTCCAATCTCCGCGCGTCCATCCCCCAGTTGGCCCAGAATGCACAGCAACTGCGAGATGCGGTCCCAAAACTCGACGAAGAGGCAGTCCGGTTCTCGTCCAAATACAGCCGAGCAGCCGAAAATGTCGCTCTGGAGCAACGGAAGAAGGTGATGCAGCTGGCCCGGAACGTCGATCGGCTGTCCGATATCCTTGAGCTCCCCACGCTGCTCGCAACAGCCGTCTCTTCCGCGGCCGCCAGTTCTACAACGACAGGCAGCTCGGTATCCACAACGTACTCTACAGCATTGGATCTGTACGCGCATATCAAGCGATTACAGACACTCTATCCCGATTCGCCGCTCATCAAAGACGTGGTCTCCCAGGCCGAAGATGCTATGAAGGACATGACGTCGAATCTGATCGCAGGTCTTCGGGCACAGAACTTGCGACTAGCAGCTGCTATGAGGACGGTGGGTTGGCTGCGTAGGGTGGCACCAGAATTGGACAATCTCCACCACGAAGGATCACCGGCCGCGGGGGAGGGTGCATTGGGAGCTATATTTCTGATCTGCAGGCTCGCGAACTTGATCACGATGCTAGAAGCTCTTGATCCTTTACGGGAGTTGGCTGATCAGGAGACACAGCGCAGGGCCCCGAGCGCGGACAGGAAGAACGGGGCGACGGGGACCTGGTCCGAAGGACACCAGACCGAAAAGTATCTGAAACGGTATATCGAGATCTTTCGCGAGCAGAGCTTTGCGATCGTGTCTCTCTATAAAAACATTTTTACTCCGGACCAGTCGGAGTCAGAGCTCGCTGTGACCGGCCTACGGGGCATCGATGCGCGGATCAAAGCTGCGGCATCGCGACCCTCTCGCCCAGAGGATCCACTCCAGTGCCTTCCACCGGCACTTGCTACCTTTCCTATGCACCTAGTACAGCTGCTGACGGACACCTTGCGCACCTATCTCCCCAACGTCCGGGATAAAAGCTCCCGGGAGAGTCTCTTGACCCAGGTGTTGTACTGCGCTGCCAGCTTGGGTCGACTGGGAGGGGACTTTGGCATGATTCTGACCGAGCTCAGCGAGGCAGCGGATGAAGAACAAGAGGAAAGCGATGCCGATGCCGATGACTTGGCCTATGAATGGGAGGAAGTGACTCGGAAACACAGAGCCTTGGCAGGACGCCTGGAGCAGCTGACAGGAGGTACAACTCCCGGGTCCTCAACCAAAGGGCATTCGTCGCGGCAAGCCTTGCCCATGCAAGGAGACATTTGAGTGGTAGGTGTCCTAAAAGAATCATTCATCACTCCTCCCACTGGCTGTGCAAAGTGCTATTCTTGGAGACGGCATTGCTTTTGCTTGTTACTTTCAAAAGGGGAAGTTCGGGCCTCCCCGGGCGGCACTAACCGAATGGAGCAAGGCCTCCGCCCGGGTTGCTGGTCCGGCCGTCATCTCATCCTCCCTCCTCACTCACCTCTCCTTCTCCCTCAAGACTTCCTCTCGGCAACATCCTTTTTCTACATTTCCCCCTTTTCCTCTGTATTTTTCCCTGGGGACGTTATACAGACTGTCCTCTTATATATACATCTCTGGCTTCAATAGTTGCTTTGATACAGCCGTTGCTTCATGACCGGTGCTGGCTTGCCGGTCGCATTGGCCCCTTCGATTGCCGCCGCCGCTGCTACTGCTGTGTGACGTTCTCCCTTGCGTACAGGGCCTGCTGGCGTTTTAGACACCACACTCCCCCCAGCAATGAAGTTTTCTTCCTGAAGGCGTGCACCGAAGCTATCTAAAGAATAGCGACCGTTTCCCTGCGATATTCCTCTGTCTCTTTTGAACCCTGATCCTGCACCTCGTCTGGATGGCGGCCCCCGCTTTGTCGACCGGCGGTTTGATCGACCCGACCAAACAGGCCGAGTATCCCATCGTGCTGGGCGACCGACTCAGTGGGAAATCCAGCTCGCCACAGTCGCAGCTGGTCAATATCCAATATAACTACAAGACCAAGTCAGCGACCGCACGGCAACGCATTACCCGAACCCGACAGTCCCGCGATCGTTACAACCTCACAATCACCGACAAAGCGCCTAACGCCGATAATGTCCTGACCTATTCATACCAAGGCAGTGTGGACCCAACACAATCTGTCTCGGATGTCGGGGAACATAACTTGGTGCTAGTCTTTGACGCGGCGCGGAAAGTGTTTGTCTTGGAGCCGGTTTCAACGCAGCTGAACTTCAACCTCCGGTCTGCTCCGGCCAAATCCCAGAAGCAGGTACTAGAGCAATACGAACAGTTACGCACTTTGCAGGAAGAGGACCATGGATCAGGTGATGATCGGGGCTCGGACAATGCCAGCGGTAACGATGATGGCCCTGCTGACGACAGCAATCCCTATGACTACCGCCACTTCCTCCCCAAGGAGAATGCGGACGACGATAAGTCGGGCTCGGATAAGACACCGGAACCCCCGTCCTACACCAGCAAGCTCGATACTCCGTTGATGTCCGCTACCAGACCCATTCCTAGTCCTCAACCACCCCCGGAGAGCCGGACAAAGCCTGTCCACCCGAAGAAGAAGAAGCCAGACGGGGTCAAGCCTCCAAAACCGGCGGCTGCTCGGCCACGGCCCAGGTCTCCGCCCCGTCCTGTGCAACCAAGAGAGGAGCGGAAGGCAGAGGTCGAAGAGGAGCCTCCGGTGGAGACATTCAATTCCTCGCCGTCCGACACGGGCCTGGGTGCTGTCTCCTCTCAAAAGGCGGTTCCATCACCGGGCTCGAATATCATCATCGACGGCGATCTAATCATCGATATGGGATCTCCACCGCCTGCTCGTCCCTTCCGGGTCAATCCTGCATACTTCTCTTCGAACCACACCCCGGCGGATGAGGAAGGAAATCGGGATGAGGACGAGGAGCAGGAGGACGATGAGGATATTGAGGACCTACGGCTACCCTCTCCGGCTGGCCACGGAAGAGCGCCAATGGCTTCGAGCGGTATAAACCTGGAGCCCGGGGTGGATGAGGAAGATTTGGAGGTTGATGATGATCCCCTCGCGGCGGAGATGGAGGCGGCGTTTGAGGAGGATGTACAGGAAGATGACCGGAGCCAGCCAGTTCCAACGCAAGCGGTGTCGCAGCAGTATCATATGGCCAGTGAGGACGAGAGTGAAGTTAGTGAGGAGGAATAAGGGGACGGGGTGTTCTATCGTGTAGCATGTTTGCTAATATCTCTTGTATTTCTCTTTGGGGGCAAGATTCCCCCGTGTCCGCGTATATACCAGCAAAGCAAGGCGCCATTTGGAGTTTTTAAGCCACGGGAAAGGATCAGAACTCAGGAATGTTCATCGTATAATATGAAATCAGCAATAACAAGGACAATGACACTTACAGTAACCATCATAATCATTATAGCACGCCGAAGATATAGATGTGAATCTTTCCGAAAAGCAAGCGACGATCCCTGGGGCCCGGAACAACGGGATGATCCGAAACGCCGGCGGTCATTGGCTGGGCGGTCAGTCGCCAAAAAGTGCCACAGCAAAAGGAAAAGGAAAGTCCCAACTTAGTGAGAAAGGAGTCTCTTGCTCTCTCTCTTTCTTCCTCTTATTCCCTCTCCGTTGCTCTCGGAACTAGCAGCCTCCCATCGCTCTCCTCTCGCCCCATTCTGGATCTTCTACTCTTCTCCACCATCTCCTCTGACAACTGTGACTCCTCAATCCTCCATCTCACCTTGTCCGGACATCCTGTGGGTGCGATTGGCTTCCCGAATCACCGGCTTCCGATGCATGCGATGCAGTGGCCTCTCCCGCGATGATTAACACGCCTCGGTAATCTCAGGACTCTGGGTGATCGGAACTAAAGTAGGACAAACTACAGACTAGCAGGAGGGCTGTTTCAATACGCTGGCTCCGGCTGGCCCCTTCGTGCGCGATCAGTTCGTCTGAGTGGATCCCTCTGTTGTCTCTTTCGCCTCGCCCCCGGGTCGACGCGAGCTTCCCAGGCCTTCCTCTGTTCTCACTGGTAGCTTTGCTTTCTTCCAGGTTTGCTGGGGAAGGTAGAGTCTGTCTACAGCTCGCCCCTCGAGACCCACACCTACAACTTCATCGCATCCGTTTCCGCTGTCCGCGATGGCGTCTTCAGCAGCCCATCCTTCCGAACTCCCGCCGGTCCCTGCCCCGTCGAATCCCGTCCTTCTCGCAACCCAGGCGCATTGGATATTCACCGATGAGGAGCTTACGCGAACGCCATCGCAGCTAGATGGCATGGCTTTGGAGGCCGAGCATATGAGCCGCAGCAAAGGTGTCAATTTTATAAACCAGGTAGGAATCATGCTGAAGCTACCGCAACTTACGCTCGCGACGGCCGCCGTTTATTTGCACCGGTTCTATATGCGACACAGTATGGTCGACTTGCCGCAACGACCGGGCATTCATCCCTACACGACAGCCGCAGCGGCTCTGTTTCTGGCTACAAAGGTGGAGGAGAATGTACGGCGGATGAAAGAGTTGGTGGTAGCATGCTGCCGGGTGGGACAGAAGCAGCCAAACATGGTGGTGGATGAACAGTCTAAGGAATTTTGGCGCTGGCGCGATACCATTCTGGTGCACGAAGACGTTCTATTGGAAGCGCTGTGTTTCGATCTACAGCTTGAGCAACCGTATCGCATCCTCTATGACTTCATCTGCTTCTTCCGCATGCAAGACAACAAGCCGCTCCGTAACGTCGCATGGGCCTTCGTCAACGACTCCGGATACACGGTGCTATGCCTGCAGTTTACCGCCCGCATCATTGCGGCCGCCGCACTATACGCGGCGGCCCAGCACTGTGACATTGGGTTTGAAGACGATGTGCTGGGCCGGCCGTGGTGGGAACAGCTTGAGGTGGACTTGACCCAGGTGCGTCGCGCGTGTATGCGCATGGCAAAGCTGTATGAAAACAACGCCGCGCATCGGAACGGCCTGTACTACTTGACCAACCCCATCAGCACAGACGAGGGTACTGAGAAGACCAGGATCCCGCGCGTGGATGGCCCGGCCGACAACACGATGCGTCCGATCGATTCCGGGCGTGAGGCGGACGCCGTCAACGGTCGGAAGCGCTCGCGGGACCCCGACGATGAGACGAAGCCTCCACGCCCTTTGGCCGACTCGATGCCCCCGTCAGAGGCAGGGCCAGCGACGCCGAACGGGGCTCCATCCCCAAAACGACCCCGGAGGGACTCATTAGGAGCATCGACTGACCGAGTCCCGTCGTCGCGTATTCCCAAGGCGCCTCTCCCCAGCGGCGGACCGGCCTTTTCCCACGACCGCCCTTCTGCGAACGGGCACGCTCCCCCGGCACCTCATTCGCACCCGTACCCTGCGACTAGACATCCACATCCCTTACCACCGCCTCCCCGGCCTTACCCTCGACGGGACAGCAGCAGTCGGCCCGGGGGTGGGCCTCCGGGGCTGCCTGTCGATCCGATTCAGCAACGGATCGACGAGATCGTGCAACAGAACATGCCCTCTCAGAGTGGTGGGCCCGGCAGGGTGGAGCGACGGCCTCAGGAACGGCATCGGGGCGATTGGGAGGCCGAAGCTGACTCAGGGCGACGACGACGACCGTCCATGTCCACAGGAGGCCTGCCACCGTCGCAGGAGGATGCTCATCCACATCCACCACCTCAGCATCTCCCGCCGCCGCCACCCCCGGAAGAGGAACCCCGTCCGCCGTCGCAGCCTGAGCCGCCTCAGGCCCCGGAACCGGAGGACGAGGGAGGTGGCAGCGAAGAGGGCGAGCTATGAGGGTTTCACCTTTGAATGGGGAGACGAACGAGTCCATTCATGAATGATGGACCTGACACCTACATACATAACTATTTCGGCCGAAGGCGTCGGAAGGTCCACCCGACACATTCCTCATTACCCTCCGATGGGGTCTGGGAAGCCGAGCGAATCTGCAAGGGCGCGCACCCCCACAGAGTGTGAGAGACACACGGAGACAAGCACACGGAGAGAGACTAGTGGACGGTGATGAAATGAAACAATGGCACAGATGGGGAATTATAAGGAGGAAGAATTGAGCCCCGAAGAAACACGCCAGATCTGTAGTTAATCTATATCTTCTACTGTTGAATTTAGAGCGATCATCATGGACAGAAGCCCTTGATCACAATTTCCATCTCCGCAGGGGCTGCAGGACTGAACATCACCGGGGCTGGCCTATGACAGGGAAGCAACCATGGTTGCGCAACAACCCCCTTGCAGCCGAACTGGCTGTCAAGTCCCAATGGGATGGCTCCGACAACCCTAGGCGAGTCAAGCAACACTGCAGGTGCACTTTTGGCATTTGGCAGGAGGACATACCAGCCGGATTCTTTGTCCGTCGTGGCTGGCTGAAGCTCAGCAGCGCCCACTGGACTCTCTGATGCGCTGTTGGGAATGCTTGACATCACGACCCGCCCTGCGTCTTGGGAATCAAAGTTCATGGAGAGAATGTCGGATTGGCCACCCAGGGAACAAAACCTGCTTCCCATCATCTTCTTTCTTCGGGCGAACGAGGAACTTTCGCGCGGCCCGTCAGCCAATGTCAATTGAACCAGCCAATGGGCACCCCGTTATGGCCACATCGCTCCCCTGTCCAACCCAAGATGCACCCGGCTCCCGCGACGACGGACCGGCGACGCAGCTGTCGCTTTTGCCGCAGTCGCAAGCTCCGCTGCTCAGGCGCCAGCGTCTGCAGCGCCTGCAAGGACCGCCAGATCGAATGTGTCTATGACCAGGGCGGCCCCAAAGGTCGTCCCCGGGTCTCTGGCGCGCGCACCACCGGCCGCCTGGTTGCTGGCCAGCCGGCGCCCGAGCCCGACATGAAACAGGCTCCCTGGACATCCCCCTCGAGTCCGTCGTCCTCCGCGGCCGGCCAGCTCTTTTCGCCGCGTCTTAAGAGTGTTGCCGATGCTCTATCCGAGGTGACGGCCGAGATTCAGGAGAAGCTACAGGGTCCAAGGGTCGATGGGATGCCATGGAGCCAGGCCGGTTCTCCTCGCCAGCGGCCGGCTAAACTGGGCTGTCGCGAGCTCATCCTGGTGCTGACCCAGGATATCATCGACGCCACAGTGGCCCGTTTCAGCGGACTCGATTGCCTTGCTTTCTTCGCTAATCAAAGTCAATTCTTCCGAGCCAGCCTGGAGTACAGCAGTCCTCCCGAACCGTCCCCCGCCCTCGAGCCGGCGCCGCTGGCGGCATACAACGGCTACCGCATCACCCAGCTCCTAGATGTGTGGTTTGGTGCGCACCCGTTGTCCATGGCCCTTTCAAAGACGCTGCTGGTACGTGACGTCCGCAGCAACTCCTACGACCCCCTGCTCCTGGCTGTCGTGCTAGGGGGCAGTCTGCTGGAACTGGGGGATACGGACACCCAGGTTGAATCCGAGCAGCTCCTGCATTGGGCGTCATCACGCCTACAGTATATTTCCACGGCGGCAGCCGACCTGTCAACTGCACAGGCGCTCAGCTTGCTGGCCTGGCATGAGACATGTCAGGGAAACATTATCAAAGCAATGACCTACAGCATCTACGCGAATCGTACTGTAACCCGCCTCATCATGGACACCTTGACCCGGTCCTCACGCGATGTCCGACAGATCAACGGGGTCGACCTAGTGCAGATTGAGTTGGAGATGATGCACATCCTGGGGTGGATGACTCTCGCGCTGATGGTCTGGTATTTTACACACTTGGGGATTGTGGATGACAGTCTGCCAGCGCTCGCGATGATGTATGAGCACCCGCCCATGAACAAGGACACCTCCATGGTGCTACGGCTCGACAAGGCGGCCGATAACTTGTCCACGCTCCCACACCAGTGGGCATGGATCCAGGAAATTTGGACCATCAGCCACATCACCTCCGCAGCTGTTCACCTCAACTCGATCTACCCTCGTCAGGCCAGCGGGCCCACGTCTCCCATAGCCCATCCTCACCACTCCTGGCAGAGTCAGCTGCACGAGCAATTGCGCAACATCCAACTCTACAAGGTCGACATTGGCAACCTGTGTAGCGAGGCCCGCGCTGTCTTGGCGCGCAACGTGCAGATCATCGAAGCCAACATGGAAGACCAGGTTGCCCAGACGTGGATTCTCGCCGCGTACCGCACCTTGCTCATCCATCTCCTGTTCCCGCGTATGGAGACCATCGCCGTCACAGCCGATCTCGTCCAGAACCTAGCCGACTGTCTTGCCTTCTTTACGCGCAGCTTCACCGTCCTCGTCCACGTCTCTACTACTCATGCGCTTCCCCAATCGAGCATTCAGTCGTGCATCCGCTCCTACATGGCTGGTCTGGCCGCCTGCGGCAGCGCCATTGACGCGATCTTCCTCATATCACCCAAACAGTTTCAATGCTGGGAACCGGAAATCTTGCAGGGGCTAGCCCGACTACTCGAGCAAGCGACGAAGCTAGACACGCTCTTCACGGACGACACACTACTGACGGACTGGCGGTGGCGAAATGTACAAGACCGCTTCCACCGGTTATCCAAATACAAAACGGAGCTGCAAAGTGTGCCAACCGGGTGGGATGGCCTCCCTTTGCCTATCAGGCCGGCGGAGCGACAACCATCTTCCTCCCTGCAAACAGTGGCTGCCGCGGTGGTGGCAGAGACGACAGAGCCAGCACCCACCCCCATAGTGCCGTTATACACGGCTGCTACTGAATCGCCGTTTGTGCCGGGGTACAGCATCCCAGTTGAACCTCCCACGTATGAAGAAACATAGCATTAGATAGTTATCTGGCTCGGGCATTGTGTCATGTATGGCGTTACGGATGCGATGGAATGGGGGTGGGTGGTAGTGTTAGGACGGAACCAATTGCATACGAATTGGTTGTCTCCTTGTGGATACTCTTAATTAATTATCATACATTGTCAGAATAGATTACTTTGAATCGAAATGCATTTTATCAATTGCATCTATACCGTTTCCTTTTTTATGTCGTATCTAAACTAACCTTCTTCTCAAACTATCGACCTTTGCATTCCCCTCAACGAGACATCAGCGGTCACATCTAGTAGTTTCATCTACTAGTAGAGCAATACAAAATCCGGGGTAAATTTATCTATCTTTCGATCCATCCATCTTAGATGATCAACCAAACCCCCCCCCCCCACACCCACTCAAAGAAACAAAACTAAATATCCGTACGATTAAGGTTGAGATACTAAGCTATAGTTATCTAAAGTTTGAAACCTAAACTTAAGTAAACCTAAATCTCAAGTTGAGTTAGATAGATTATTAGATACCAACCAAGCCCTTGCTTATTTTGGTCTTGCACTTTCAACTCTATTTTTACAGACTGTTTCCAGGTTACGTTGAATTACTTAGCTATTCACATATTACCTTTCTAGGAATGAGTGGTATAGTAGTTTAGTTTGGTTTAGTCTATGGTCAGTGGTCTGCTTGTATGTGTTTGTTTATTGCCCTGGATTAGATTGGATTGAATTGAACTGTTCAATGGTGTTAATCAATTAGTACTGGATAGAGAGTGTATGGTAGTGAGATTGTTTGATCTATTTGTTGCTCTCGTGTGTTACTTGTTCTAGTGGTCCGGCTTGGATGTTTACTACTTCCTAGTAGTACTCGGTGTATTCCCTCTATGGCTCGTATTGTATCTCATACGCTATATCATTATTTCAATGTATTGTATATATATAGTTCCCCTTTTCTATAACACTATATAACTCACCAATTCAAGTTATCTAAAGGTACTATATTCACACCTCTACATCCCCCAACAACCACCTTCCCTCTCTATCACCACCACCGCCCACCAAATGCGCCTCCCCCAACACTCCTTTCACCACCAACACCATCTCATCCACGGTGATCAAAAACCCAAAGTACGCACTCGCCGCCACACAGAACCGTCTATACCCTTCATCGCGCATCATTTCAGCCGAAATAACCTGCTCTTCCTGACCACGACGCCCCCTCGACCAATTATCCACCGCCTGCTTGAACAGCGGCGTGGGCAGAATCTCCGGTAACGCATCGCCCGTTTTTAGGGCCTGTTCGCAGAGACCCATCACCGCCATGACCTGGCCGATGAGCCGGTGATCCAGGAGCCCCGTCTGACGAGCTAATTGCTCTTGGAACTCCTGCGGCAGGGATGAAGAGAGGAGTAGGAGGCGGCCAAGCTGGCGGTTGAGGCTGCGGCAGAGGGAGTTCACTTTGGCTAGGGAGGCGCTGTCGAAGCGCGAGCTGGAGAATTCGAAGCCGAGGAGTTTGATGGGTCCGTCCAGCGAAACGAGGGTTTCGGCCAGTTGGAGGGAGAGGGGTTCGGCGAGCCTTTTGCCCTCGGTGGAATTTTGGGCCCAGACGGTGAGAAGGAGGGCATAGTGCGTGGATAGGGTGCGCATGGCGCGGGAGAGCGTCTTGCAGACGTGCCGGGAGGCGGATGGAGGGCGGGGGAGGGTTTGGAGGATGGCGGATGCGGCGACGCCGACGAGGACGAGGAGTAAGCGTCTCCAGAAGACGTTGTAGCCGACTCCTGGGTTGCCGTATTGGGGGATATGGCTGGGAGGTTATTAGTGGGTGATCTGGTAGGGTTGAGGGGGAACACTTACGTGTCATCGTAGCTATATGCGATGACTAGCAGGAATGTGGCTCCGCCGATGATACCTCCCTGCATCAAGGCCGGCGGTAGGTACAGTCTGGTCCAGACAAGGATTACTAGGATTGCGGCGGTGATGGCAGACAGCCCATACGGATTGCCCGGGCCATTTGCGGAGCCGATGTACCATGCCAGCAGTCCCAGAACTCCGCCGATGACGGTTCCAATCACTCTTGCGATCACTGAGAACGTAAAGTCTGCCATGTATACGAGCAGACCCGTCTGTCCCATGATCAACGCCCAAAGTCCTTTCGCACGGTAGTAAAAGCCTGCACTGTGAGGAATCACGCCCGGAATGCCCAGGGCGATCGTGACGACGACCATACGCATGGCATACAGGCCTTCGTCGCAGGTAAACCAGTGGTAGGTTCCCAGGATAGCTCGACTGAGAGGAGGGCGTGGCTTCGTGCGGAATCCGCGGGTAGCACGCAACTTCTCTTGTGCTGCTTTGGTAGCATCGTCGGCGCTGACGCGATCCGGATCGTCTTCGGTACCCTGGGACCCCGGTGCCTTGACCTGGTTGGAGGAGGCCCATGATG